AATGTACAGGGGGTACATGCGCATGACAGGCAAGCCAGCCGGCCCTGGAGGTTCGGAATTGCCAATAACTTGCCAGTACGGGACTTGCCATTAATAGCTCTATTACTTTCCCGTATCGTACCATACGTACGTAGCGGTACGGCAGAGACGACTTCTTRAAATCGATAGTAATTTTCAATTCAATTTTCCCAGTTGTAGAACGAAATAGGCATTTACATCGACGATTGCATTCGAAGAACAAGGATCGTCGGCCTTCATTCTGTCGAATACATTTCGTTGCTTGGTCTTATCTCCACCAATAGTGAAGCGAACAGGAAACAATCAATGATCCATCCTTTTCTATCCACAATTACGTGCTGTTCCCGAACACAAGCCAAAACGGCAACACAATGCAATCCGCTCACACCCGAATGCGACGAGCAGTCGAAAAGGAAAACCGAGACATCGATGAGGAAGCGGGAAGAGCAGCTGGTGGAAAACAACAGAAAAGGAGAGTTCGTCTTAAAAAGAAATCGCGCAAACCGATCAATTTGTGTCTCTTGCTAATTGTGTTGTCCCCCGTTTTGGTTATTGGCATATTGCTATACGCTACCAACCAATACGCGAGTTTATCGGGGCTGCTGCGAAAAGAAACACAAGCGGATGGCAGTGGTGGGAAGGATGTTTCCGGCAAGCGCTCCAATGAGGCATCGAGAATTATGACACGCCTCGGCAATAACCGAGCGGAGGAGCAGCAGACGGATCAGGAGGCAAACAGCATCGAACAGGGAGACAACCAGGAAGTCGGACAGAATATAGTCGAAGGGATAGAAGCAACGAAACCGCCAGAACAAAAGCAACAGCAAAACGACAAGATCACTACGCATGACAAAAAGTTCCTCGTCCTGACTACTACACAAGGGAACATAAAAATAACATTGCGGCCGGACCTTTCGAAAGGATCCGTCGACTACATCTACAAGCTGGTCGAAAGCTACGGGGGTAAGCGGTGCTTGCACTGCAATTTTTACCGGGCGGAGAAGCCCGGAATCCTCCAGGGCATCATGGAGAACAAAGATGTGGTTCCCATCAACACGGTCCGGGGAACCTGTCCGGAAGGTGCCGAGGGCGTTCCGAATRACTGCCCACCSTGGGACAAGRACTGCGGCTGCCACGGCCCGATCATGACGAGGGGCGCCGTGGCATGGGCCGCGGGGGACGCTGGGGGTCCCGATTTTTTTATTGACGCCTACAAGAACCCGGCCGATTGGTGGGGAACCCAGCACACAAACTTTGGTTTCATCGACGACGAAGCATCTCTCGATGTCGTCGACGCCATGTTCGAGCTGCCCATCGAGTCAACGCCTGATATGGATTTTATCAAGGATCCAATCCACTTTGACCTGCTGCTTGAGTAGGGCAGACATGATGGTTATGAAACTTGGATTACTAGCACTATGCACCATGGTACACTTTCTTCTTAGCGAGGAGTATCTCAATTAGTGGTGGTGGAGCTGCTGCTGTCACCGGTGGTATTTTTTGGCAGTGTTGAAGATTGGTAATGATAGTGTTTTATTTACAAATGGTATTGGGAACTAAATTGTTGCTACGTTGTACTGTATCTTTTAGAATTTGTCACAAAAGATGGCCTATTAGAGAGACACGTTGGTAATGTTTACTGTTGACTTGAATCAAAGAAAAAGAGTTTTTTACTATTGTGGGCGAATGTTAATAGTGATTGAGAATTCAGTTCTGCCAATAGCAGAAATTTAAGTGGGAAAAAAGATTATGCAGTTGCTTATTATTTGTATCAGTTACAGTTCTGTAAATACTGTAGAAAAGTACCTACAAAATGATACACATGTATTTTCTACGTAGATCTTCCAACCCCAATCATTTTACATACTTCCTATGGTCCACTATATGTGCCATTGTGCCCCTGTCTTAAATACATGTCATTGCAGTTGGGCCTATGTAGGATTGTGTACATTCATTACCAGGAACTTCCTTTGCCACTATATCTCTTATTTGAACTACTTACTACTATCACTACTATGCTTGTTGTCCTCAGCAGGAGCAGCAGCAGCAAGAACCTGTGTTCCTGCCACAATGCAGTCAGGCTTGCAAATAATTGAAAGTGGGAGTGTACCCGCATGCATCAGGCTTGCTTTTCCAAGATGGGAATGCTTGTAATTGTTATCAACCCCAATACCAAGTGAGGCTTGCATACAAGCCTGCAGGGACAAAAACATGTTTTTCAATGTTTGATGCCTGCACTTATCAAAGGCTTGCTTTATGTTTTGAATGAAATGATGAAGAACTAAAATAGCACAATGGAAACACCAAGCCTCTGCTGACTGACAAAAACAAAATCCACTGAGTTCAATGGATATTGAGCCACATTGATAAGAACAACAGATTTGATTATTGGTAAAATTGGATACATATTGACGAGGAATGTATCTATCTGAATGTACAAAGCAGACAACTTATCTCCTACCAGATGACAAAGATGACCCAAGTCTACGTCAAAGGCAAAGAATCAAATGACAAAGGTAATGTTTGTCTGTGCCACAGCACATCCAAGGTTTGAGTCACACAGGAACACTTGGTTTGACGGTAAGATTGGCATCTGGCCCTTTGTTGTGAAAGCGCCAGCAAAAAGAAGATTTGTTACTAAATGTTAATGGCAAGGTGTACAAGCAAATGATGCTGGAGAAAGTTTTGCCTGCGTGGCCAAAAGGAGCTGATGATAGTCCACCTCCTGAGATTATCATTCAAGAGGACAATTCAAAGCCTCACAAGCCAACTAACAGAACTGATATTGCTAAAGCTATGGCAAATGCAGGCTGGAAGGTTTTCGTTGTGACTCAACCTCCAAATAGTCCAGATATGAATGTGCTTGATCTTGGATTCTTTAAATTCAATCCAAAGCTGGCCCTACAGTACAAAAGTGGTCAAAATATATTGATCATTTGATTGCCAATGTTGAAAAGGTGTTTGGTGATGAGAAAAAGTGTGAAACACTCAACAATGTCATTCTATCTCTCCAGGCTTGTATGCAAGCATCGCTTTGTGTTTGAGGTGACAACAACAAGTACAAGCTGTCACACATGAGAAAAGCAAGTCTCATGTGCAAAGGTGCCCTTCCTGTTTCAGTGAATGCAACACAAGTTGCATCACCATAGGACAAAAAGTACTTGCAGAAGAAGCTGGGGCTCAGGCTCAGGCAATAGCTGATGTACAGCAGTAGGAGTACTACTAGTAGTAAAAGTGTATTAATGATATTTGTATTGATTAAGAATAAGATTCTGGTATTCTGGTACTTATTCTACACAATCCTACTCAGTCAAAGCAAAGTGGACACAATGCTCTGGGACAGCAAAAAGGGTCATATGGGATACTTATTTTGGGACAGAGGAAGCAGTACTGTAACTTGCAGGATTCAGTTCCAATTTGTACCACATTCTACTTGTGGGCATTGATTCTGTACTACATCCTAGAACACTTGTTTGTTTGCATGCAGTTATCTAATCATAGTTTAGAACAAGCAAACTTTCAAACACTTCTTCCAACTAACCATAGGAATGGACCTACTATGTTCCACTTGTTTATCTTCTTGTTTACAACAATGTATTATTGCTGTAAGTGCACCTTATTGCAACACTTCAATTTTTTGGTTTTAACCTTTGAAATCACTGTTTTCTGATGCTTTTAAAAACTTGCGCTTGTTCTAACTATGACAATGCTTGGTCATCTTCTTGTTGTTACAACCATGAAAACAACAACACCAGCATCTTCTTCTCAAAGTAAGTTCTCGTGCTCTATTGCTTTTGCTTGATTGTAGAGTACTCAGCATCATCTACAACAGCAGTCAATCTACAGTAGCAGATGAGCATAATTCCTTCTTGGTGATCCTCATTCCTTTTTGTTGTTATTGATGCTTGTTGCTTCTTCTTCTTCTTGTTGTTATAAATTGTTATTTAAGGCATACTCCACAATATGGTTCAAACAATTCCTCCACAACATAGYAACAGATTGACCAGTGCTGTACTTGTTCTTCTTTGTCTGCTGGTGGCGGCAGGGATCCAGCTCGCCAGACTTGGTCCAAAGCTGCTGCAGTTGTAGCAACAACAGAAAAGCAGGAAAGGAAGCTGGTAACAAGGAATTCATCATATATGAAGACTAGAAGAAACACAAAGAAGTGTTTGAATTGCCAGCAGGACGTTGCTGGGGATTGTACTTTGATGCTGGTTGCAAATCCTTTGATACCTGCAGTTGCTGTGAATTATTTGATACTGGTTCTTGCTGCAAATCCTCAGACTGTGCTTGAAGGCCATTCAAGGAAGCTTGGAATTGAAGTTGAGGAACTGCAACTGCCTACTGCACCCACTGCTGTTCACAATGATTTTGCTGCCAATGGTTTGGAAGAGGTTCCTGCTCCTCMTTTGCCCACAGAATTCATTCCTCTTGCATCCATCCTCCAGAAATTTGATGAGAACCAGCTTGCATTGAGGAGCACTGATACCTCTGCAATAAAGGCTCTTTATTTCAACACTACCAAGCATGAGAAGAAGAATGCAAAGCTTGTTGCTGAATTCTTTGAATCTCCTGCTGCCCATCCATTAGCAACAGCAACAACCCCTGTTGCCTTTCCTGCATACATCCCCAGTTCTCAAGGACTGGAAGCCCCAGTGTTTTCCAGTTGTGATTGTTGTTGTTTCTGTCATTTGTGTTGGACAGCAACAGCAGCAACAACAACAACAACAACACCCCCAGCCCCCAGTATTTAACCCTGTGACTAGATTTGTTGGTTTATTCCCAGTTTCTTCTTCAAGAAGATGTTCCACAAACAGCTGTTCCTWGGGAGGGTTCAGCTGTGATTTGAAAGATGTGAGATGGTGTCCTTTTTTTCTTTTTCTTTTTGGCTCATTTTTTTATTTTTGACTACTACTACATGTGTCCTTGCCCACTGGGGTGTGACTTGCCTTAATTGGCTTGGCAGTGTGCTTGGCACACATTTCCTTAATCTCTGTAGGAAGTGCCATTTGAAATGATAATGACATGGTTCTCATCCATCCAAACTGTGACCCATTTGCTTTTATGTCCCCTGAATCCAGCCTCAGGCCATCAGTATGCATAGAACTTGGTTGCGCCTCCACAAAACCTCCTTGGAGAGGGGTGCCGCCCCTTGGTGCAGCTAGGAGCATTGTTCTCCCTAGTCTGGAGAGACTCTGGTCCTGGCCATCCAGTGCCTCTTCTAGTTCACCACAAGGTTAAATATAATATTAAGATTTTTTTACAAGGTGTCCTACTGCAATCTGGATCTCCAAGGACGCTCAGGTTTGATCAGAGGCCCAGTACCATCTCAGTTCTGTCAAGCAAAGAATGAAGTGCCAATTTGTAGCCTTTAGCAGCAAAGAGGGGATTGGATACTCACTCAGTACTGACTTCAACCATCCAGGGGGGTTCCAGGCCTACTGGAAGCGGAACTTCAAAATCACCAGTGAGTACCGCGAGTCCTTTGGAAAGTGCCCCCACAAGGCCAAGTTTGATCAGGACTGGTTTGCGAAGCGTTGGAAGGCAGTACTGGATCCAACCAATCCACTGGATCCTTTCAACAACATCAAGCACTTTGTCTGGTGCACCTTGGAGAACATCATTACAGAGCAGGCAACAAGAGGTTGCAAGAAACCAGTATTGCTTGTCAAGGAGGATTTTGAAACAGGCACCATTCTGGAGGGGGGGTTTGCTGGTATTCCTTTTGTCTGCCTTAAGGAAAACTACAGTGGGCAGAAGGGGAATGATATTTCACTGTGGAATCCTGTGATAAATGAGGARAATACTCAAAAGTTGATCAAGCTCCTTTCCGTGGTACCAGATAAATATGAAGGAATGAATCACATCATTTGAAAGCCAGCTTCAAAGAAACAGATTGCAGTAAGTTTGTTTGTTTGTTTGTTTGCATTTGATTTTGACTCCAAGTTGTGGTCTCTGAAAATGAGCAGTCCTTGGGGAAAAGCAGTGTTGCTGGTCAGTACTACAAGGACAAGGAGACTTTTTTCCTTTGCAATTTCTTCACCAGACTCATTTGTTTTTCTTTTTTGCTGCAGATCTGGAAGAAGCAGGGTTCTCCACTGAGACTGAGTCCAAGTGATAACCAGGTGATTGGTTACCACAAGATGAATCCAATTTTGAAGCAGTTTGCAGTTTGGAGCAAGTATGACAATCCCTTGACATATACTGCCCATGGGAAGCGTCACAAAATGCTTCAGTTTGTCCATCATTAAAGGGAATGGGCAGTCATGCAAGCATGGATACTGCTACCAACTACATCAAACCAAATCAGCAGGCCCTTGATACTGCTGTTTGTGCCAAACATGGTTCTCCCTCCAAGATTGAAAAGCCTTCTCGAGATCGTTCTCCAGCCTCAGCAGCTCTGCTGCCACCTCCTCCTCTGCAATTGGAATCCCCTGCATTGATTGCCTCTTTTTTGGTTGTCTCCCTTCTTGCCCAGCTCTCCCTCCAGCATTCTTTCTCAAAGGCTTCCAGCACCAAGGCCTCTGTTTCTTCTGATGCTGTTGTTGGAGATTTGGGAATGATGAGCAACTCAAAAATTTGAAGTTGTTCCCTAAGCTGATCTCAAGCCCCCTCCCAAAAAATGTGCCTTCAAATATCTCTTTTTCCATTGCCTCCAAGGAATCTAGTACTACCCCTATCCCTTTGCCTTGTTTTGCTGATTACACCAACCAGTCAAGGGAATTGCAATACCACAACAAGAAATGTCGCTTCTCTTGTTCCCCTACTAGTAGTATACTAGCTAACAGGTACTTCCTCTGTCCAACAATGACCGTCCTGTGACTCTAATTTTGCTGTCCAAAAATGATAGTCCCCTGATTACTTAACAATTATGATGAAAGAGTTTCATTCTTTAACCCATTTAACCCCTAATTAAATATGACTGGTGTGTACAATACGTAGAATCAGTACCAGATACTAGTAGAAATGAGCATGTGCATGAATAAAAATTGTTTTTGCACATGAAATTAAACAGTGTATTAACACGGGAAACAATATGTTGACAATGGTATGGTGCACCTCTGTTGAACAAGAAATGGCCATACAAGAAAGTTCTCCTTACTAGCAATTTGAATAATACTAGCCTTATAAAATACTAGACCTACACTAACGCCATGTGCAAGTATTAAAAATTTAAATAATAGCCTTATAAAATACTAGACCTACAATAACATGTGCAAGTATCGGCATATCAAAATGACCGTTGGAACCCTTTAAACTCATAATTTCAAAATGACATGATTTAAAGACTATGTTTGAAGGCTTATAACTTTGTTATTGCTTGTACCACAATTAATGGCACAATGAATTTGAAAAGTATTAATTATGATGAATAGAAGAAAAAAAAACCCATCCAAATTGGCCTTATATTGAGCTTATTTCAGTAGTAGTACTAAGTTTGTTAGGGGACAATCATTCTTGGACGGAGGAAGTACTTGCTTGTCCTCCCAGTATTCTGACTACCTTCATCACCGTTCTCCTCTGCATTCTTCTCCACTGTGTCGGCAGCACCACCAGCATCATCAATCTCCGCGTTCTCCTCCTCCTTTGTCTTCTTGGGATTGATCCCAGCAGCATTGCCAAATGGCTCCTTTGTTGGTACTTGTCCTGTACTCCTAGCACTACTAGTAGATTAGTACTAGATAATTTTCATTTGTTTTATTTTTACGTCTCTTTCGCCGTTCATGACAGGATTGCTCGTCGCTGTATTGAATGATAGCGCCATTCTGGCCGGCTACAAGATTATGTTTTCTAATTGAAAGCCGGCTTGTGGACAACTCCTACTGAAAACAACAACTTTCGGCCAAAAATTCCGCCGATGACTCCTTTTGATTAGAGGCTATTCTATTTTAGTCCATCCAACATGAGGAGATTGTCATAGCGATGTCAAGGTTTGCCCCGTACGAGTACTTACAGTACGTACCTCTTGATCTGACAAATTCTTTTCTTTTGGCGGAAAATTTTGTTGTAGAAGAAAGATTCTGTGTATTTCGTCGTACTGGAACCTACATAGACTACGTTCGTTCAGGTTACACCGTTACAGCATAGAAATCAACGCTCTCGTCCTTGTTGCTAGGCTGTGTGTGTCTGGTCTGAGGGATCTTGACCGAAAAAGTATCCCATGATACCAACGTGCATTTTACGTGCACGAAGGCAAAGTGACGAACAATACCGTTCATCATACCGTACGATACAGTAAATGTTTTCATTTTCAGAACTCTCTATTACGGTGCGGTATTACCGCACGAGATATGTCTTGCCAGCCCACCTTCTTCGCACAAAAAAATACTTCTGTTTTTCAAAAGTAAATACAGTACCACATTATCTGAAGCCGTAAAAAGCACTATTGACACCAAAATGTCGGAGATTAAGAAAGCAAAGGTAGTGGAGAAGCCTACCAACATCGAATCCACCGCCAGTCCAGGTGGGGATGCAGAACTTGGTAAAGCAAGACCCCCAATGGATAGAAAGGCTTCAGTCAAGCATGCGTACCTGACCAAGTTGTTCGGTAGCGACTATAACCTCCAAGAAGTTTACTACGTGCTCGCTGCTGCTTGCGTCATCGCTCTGAACCAGGGTTTTGTGAATGGTGTATGTATGTCTGGATTGTTGGTCACAGTGCCACCCGACGGAAGAAACCCTGAAAGGCAGATGATTGCAGGATTTGCAGGCGCATACACCAACTTGGCTCACGCTATGTTAGCCGGTGATGGGCACAAATACACTTACAATCTTTGCATGATTGCTTCCTATATGGGGGGCTCCTTCATTGCAGCCATGATCAATCCCCACGCCAAACCCTAYGTCATTGAACCCAGATACGGACCTACCTTCATAATTGGAGGATGTTTTCTCTTGGCGGCAAGCCTCTTGGCTGGATTCGAGGCACCCTCTAGATTTGTCTTTTTTTTAGCAACGGCATCCGGGGGTGTTGCAAATGGAATTGCCTCTATCTATAGTGCGAACTTGATTCGTTGTACGTTGACCGGAGCTACCACCGATGTCGCCATCGTTCTTGCTCAAATGATCCATCGCAACAACAAGGGTGTCGCAAAAGGATCCGTTCTTAGTCTTATTATATTCTTCTTTTGGGTCGGTGGTATAATCAGTTTCTGGGCTGTGAGAGCGTTGACTGAAAATACTTTGTTCATAAACGCGGCTCTCTTTTTCTCTATTGGTTTGATCTTGATTGTCTACCTCGTTAAAGAGCTTGGAGTATCTGTTTACGATGCCATTTTCGGAACCTGGAAGTGGAAGAATGTTTTGCAAAAACTCCATACTGAAGATGGTGAGCTAACGCCAGATAAAATGATGGCCATTTTTGATAGAATCGATCAGGGTGGTGACGGCAATGGTGAAATCGATGGTGATGAGCTCCGTGACGGATTGAGGCTTGCTAAGGTCAAAATGACCGATTACGAGATCAAAACCTTGTTTCGTGCCGCCGATGACGATGGCGACGGTGTCATTGATCGCCAAGAATGGGCCGACCTCATCAAGAAAATTTTGTGATCAGTTGGATGTTTCGTGGACGAAACGGTTTCGGGTTTCCAAACAGAATGTTTCCCGGCCAAAACGCGATGGCCACTTTGCATGGCACAACTTAATATCGATTTACTAGTTGTGATGGTTTTGTTTCAAAATTAATTAAATAAGTATGTTTCATTCTATTCCCATGTTAGAAAATGAAGGTACCATCATTCATAATGCACAATTAAGAAAAGGTTTGATCAATTATAAATTGAACACATTTCTGACGGGGGATCATCGATGATGAGAGAAGTTTGCATACGAACGTCAGTGGAATGAGTATTGGGACGTGAGAAAAGTCTGTACAGGAACGTCAATGGAATGCGTGTCATAGAGCATAAGGAAACAATCCTTTTTCACAATAATCCTGAATTTTGTTTACGCTTGGTCTTGGTTGGAACCATTTTACTCAGAATATACTTTTTCTTGCACATGAAGTACTGGAATACTTTTTATTGTAGATACGTTTTGAATGAATGTATCTTGTTGAAAGCTAGTTTTTCAGTCATTATGAAAGAAACAATAGGATTGACCTCAACTTGTGTTGCTGGTAGTGACAGAACTTGCAGCAATCATTTCTTTCTTCTTATAGGTTTCTAGAACAGAATAATCCTAAACTTGCATCTCATGCTGGTAATGAAAATCTTATGTAAAGCATGGTGAATGGAATCTTCCCTGTGCTCCAGGGCATAGTGTGTTGTATTGCTGAAGATTTCTTCGTATGTTTAAAAAAATCTTAATATTATTTTTAACCTCGTGAACTAGAAGAGGCACTGTATGGCCAGAACCATGACTTCTCCAGACTAGGGAGAAGAATGCTCCTAGTAGCTGCTCYGAGGGGCAGCACCTCCCTCCAAGGAGATTTTGTGGAGGCATGATCAAGTTCTCTGCATACTGACAAGCCAATTAAGGCAGGTTGCTGGACTCAGGATACAGAAAAAGATTTGGTTCACAGTTTGGATGGATGAGAACTATGCCATTATCATTTTAAAGTGCACTGCCAAGCCAGAAGGCAAGTCCCATTGCAGTTATCAAGGAAACGGGTGCAAGCCACACTGCCAAGCCAATTAAGGCAAAAACCCTTGCAGTTTACAAAGACTCAGATGTTGGAGCAGTCATTAAAAAAATCCAAAAGAAAAGCCAAAAGAAAATAGAAAACAGACATCATGGCATCTTGATGTTGTTGCAAAACAAACCCTTGAAGGTGGAGGTTGAAATAGCTATGGTTGCAGTTGCACTGCAAGTGGTTGTTGCTGTTATCCAACACAAATGTCAGACACAACAACATTATGATCAGAAAACACTGAGGCTTTGGATCTGTAAATACTGGAACTGCTTGGAGATAAGGCTGGTGGTTCTTTAAAACTGAGTATGGTGTAGCGTATACTCCAGGAGTTGTTCTTCTTTGAGGGATAGATCTTGGTTAAATACTGGTGGTTGTTATTGTGGCTACCCAACACAAATRTTTGAAACAGCAACATTGTGACTACTAGAAAATACTGGGGCTTCTGGTCCATAAGAACTGGGGATGAATCCAGCCGGGGCAAACTCAAGCACCAGCTGGGGGGGGGGGTTACTGGGAATGATGCTGATCGCATCAGGGTCATCTTGGTTAGATTATTTGGTTGTTGTCGTTGCTGTCCAACAACGCTTCCAGTCCGCAAATACTGGAATTGGCATGGAGACAAGGCTGGTGAATCTTCTTGAAACTGATGACGTAGCATATACTCCAGCAGGCATTGTTCTTCAAAGGATAGGTCTTGGTTGAATACTGGAGACTGGGGTTGTTGTTGCTGTCCAGTACTACCAACAATGTTGGAAACAACAACATTTTGACCGGAATCATCTACAATGTGACCTTTGTTGTGTGGTCACATGCTTGAAAAAGTAAAACTTCATGATGTGTGCACAGAGAAACTGAAGAATTTCCCACATTGATGTCACTGCGATTGGAATACACCCAAAACCAACTGGTGTGGCTTTCCTCAACAGTGCAAGTGATAACTTTTGTCATTGCCATCATCAGCACAGTCCAAGTGCAACATTGCTTGCAAGGTATTGAAACCAACTGCACACTGAGCAGCTGCAACAGCAATGCAACCATCCAACAGCAATTCCTGCAAATTTCCTGGGGTTGTCCACTCATGTGCTGTCCATGGTGGGCAAACCACTTTTGTTTGTAACTGCTCCATCATCTTGTTCTCAATTCAAATCCATCTAATGAAAACCAAAGAAATTTATTGTTGCTAACAATTCATCTTGCATGCAGTCTGGCATTTTTGTTTCATTTCTCATTTTTGGTGTCTAACCAACAAGAATAATTGGGCATCCTGTTGCTGTGCCATTTCCACTTTCCCAAACCCTTACGAATTTTTTGGTTCCTGAGATCAGGGTGTGTCAAATTTGGATTTTACACATTTTTGGTGTGTGTTTAAAGGGTAACCCAACATTGCGTACAAGCTTCTGTGCATCACAAACAAAGAACTTGTAGTACAAAAGAATCACAGATTGCCCACCTTGCATAATGGGATGTCTGCAACATTGAAGTGAAACRTCAGGAACATATTCAAAAATGCGCATGTACACCGGACGAATATAAACGCATTAAAGCAAATATATACTTCCACGGAAAAACTGAAGACATCGTACCAAAATAGTTTCTTGAATGGAAGATTGGTGGTCAAAGAAGTGCAAAGTTCAAGTAAAAAGCAGAATAAGACGCCATCTTAAAGCAGCAAACCCAGTAGGTATTTCAACAAAAAAAAGACAAAAAATGGAAATGACTGAAAGTAGAACACATACAAACGAATTCATATTCTCCTGCAACAGAAAGATTCATGTTGCCTGAGAAGAAACTATCGATTAGCTGCTCGTAAGTTTGATCCATAGAAAGAAATATTACATACGAAGGTGCGTGGATCCCCTTAATAACACGACCCATGGAAACGGTTCGCTTTGATACAAGTGTTCGATCGCAGTGTCTCGGAATCAAAGGGTACAACGAATTTTGGTTGACCGACCAAAGTGAAACGGTATGGCACTTGTTATACTATCTGCCACGGTCCCACGCCGGAACATTCGTTATGGGTTGTGCCGTCCAGAGTCCACACACGGGGCCGTCGTCTCCCCCGTACCGGACGACACCCTGTTGTACCAAGTACACGTACTCATCGTCACCGATGCCAACCCCCGGGAGCCTTCCACCCCGATCGGAGAGTGTCTCCGGTTCCGGTCTCTGGTTTTTGGCCTTTTCCTGCTTGGCACTTTGCATCCAGTACATGACCCGGCTCTTGATCATATCCAATGGGTTTTGGTCCGGATACCGTTTCTCCCACCGCTCGGTTTGTGGATTCCACTTCCTGGCGGATTGCTGCCGATTGCTAGCATCGTTCAGGTCTCCACCAGTGGACCACATTGCCTCCCGGGCCTGGTAGTATTCCTCGTTGAGACGATCGAGCTCGGTCTGGGTGTACAGCCGCGTGGACAGGACCAGTTCCGTCCCCGCCTCGATGACGACGTCCCGTTTCCGCAGTTCGCTGGCGATCGTGTAGGAGGCTTCGAAGACCGTCCCGTCCTCGGACACGCTCCAATAATTTCCGGYAATCGGTGATTCCCGAGCACCCTCGGGGCCGGTGAATCCCACTGTTTCGGACCGCGGTGCCACGAATCGACGCGTGGACGTTGTGGCGCCGCACCCAAAATCGGTGGGAACCACCAGCGGCATGCGGACCCCCAGGCGGGCCCAATCGAAGGGCATTCGGGCCAGGGGCTCGCGTCCAATGTCCATTACGACACGCCATGGATGGGAGCTTGTGCTGCGATCATTATTCTTTCCAACCGTCTTCGACGATTCCGAGTTGTCGCCGCCATCGCTGGTGGCGGCTTCCAAGAACGAAGGAACCCAAGCGGTTTGGACGCCAGAGTAGGGGTTGTGCTGTCGGCTAGGTTTGCTTCGTTGGTGATAGCAAAATCCAGATCGAAAACCGGTAACCGTCGGCACCGCTGGAAGACCCAGCAGAAAAAAAAATACTTTCGTAGTAGAGGGGGTCATGAATCCGTAGAAGTTTCGAAGGAAGTCCAACAAGCTCAAGGCAAGGTAAAAAACATTACTGTAGATGGAATGTTCACCTACGGTACATTTTCTGCAAGAGCAATAGATGGAGACATTCAGCGTGCAGAGCAGAGCGGCAATTTCCCAAACAGATTCCCAAATAGATTTTCCGAATTGATCATATCATATTTAATACTACTAGTAGTACGAAGTATTACAGTAAAAGAGTGCACGATTGGTTACGATTTTTTTGTGTCGTGAACAATCATGAAAGATTCTTCGTCCATACTGTACGTACTGTATGACAGTAAAGTACGTACCGAACCGTCCGGTACAGGAACTTTGTGAACGTCTACCTCGCAATACAGTACYTGAAAATCGATTTCCACTGCCACTGAAGCAGACCAATCATGGAGACTCAAAAAAAWTTCCAAAAATGCATGATTTGGGCGGAGACGGGAAAAAGTTAACGTAATTTCAATTGTTGTTTTACGCGTAGTAAGCTTATTTCAAATCTGCTCATTTCAATCGGAGTTACAAGAAATACTCCAAAGCAATCCTGTACTTATTAGTTATTTCATAAAGGAAGGAATAACCTTTACTGCAGTATTTCGTTTTCGATGTCACATGTCTTTATTCTTCCTCTTGATCATCGCAGAGACCAATGCTGGAGGAAAATTTTCTGTTTGTTCATTCTTCTTCTAGTCTCTTGCAGGTTAGATCGGAATGAATCAGCCACAAACACATGGTCGGATTGTGTGTTCGTTTCTTCATTTACGCCACAGATACTTGTGAGAGAAAGGTCATGCGACGCAAATTTTGTCAAGAGTTTAAAGGAAAATAGAGACGGAACATTYCGTTCGAAGATACCACCTCCGTCGAAGACGAGGCTCCTCAATCACCATTTAACATCACATTCTGAGTTCCCATCCTCTGTACCCCTAAAAAAAGGTCCAGCACCAACTGATTGGGTGATCGTGGAGCAGTACCCAATGGTTCCTTCTGATGGAATCGATCCATATCATATCCTTGATAATAATATTCGAGGGATTGTTGCCAATAACGGCAACAATGACGGCACAGAGAAGTTTCTCAATACACTCGAGCGACTTAATGTCACCGCAAACAACTTAACTCTTCCGATCGCCTTAATGGGGATAGATTCTTCACGGTACCCATCCTTGAGCAATGCAAGAAAAGCTTGTCGTCAGGGTAAAATTGCACTTTACTCAACGACAACGACAAAACCTTCACCGCCTTCTTCTGGTCAATTTCGTAAGGGACTGGTGGGGGATCGTGTACATCCACAGGACTTTATCGCAAGACGAGAATTATACAAAAATATCCAGATAAACGTGTCTTCGTCACCGCTGGCTTCGACATCATATAATACTCTCGGTGATGGATTTGTGAAATCCAAATTCCAGAATCTCCCCATTGCGTACGAAGACGATTACATGGCTATCATTGTCAAACCCGCGGGTCTTTTGATCCATCCACAGGGAAAAAATGGAAGCTGGGGACGAAAAAACAATGTGTTAAACGCTCTTCCATATTTTTTGCGCCGGCCATCGGCAATCGGCAGCACGAAGGCCAACAATGAGGAGGAGGAGGAGGACCGTACCATTTTGGACAAGCCCGTTCCCGTTCATAGACTCGATTTTGCCACCAGTGGCTTGCTTGTAACCGCAAAGACAAAGGGTGCTTCGAGGTTGCTGTCACAAGAATTCGAATACCGAAAAGCGCAAAAGACTTATACGGCGATGGTGTATGGAATTCCCGTGGACAACGGTTATTGCGATAACAACGATTCGCCGTTGGAACTTCCGTCATTTTTTGGCCCAAAGGATCAAGATGCAAGTGCAATAGGAAACAACACGACTGGTGCTATCAAAGATTCGATTGTAGACAACGGAAATAYTCTTGATGATGAAGGCAGCATGGAAGACGACGACTGTAATTGGGAGGGTTGGAACCTTGGAAATTGTCTTCTTGACGCCAAATTGGCCACAACACGATGGAGGTTGTTAGGGTCACACAACTGTTCCGTGCCAATCCAGTATCACCATGATAATGAGACTGTTACTACTGGCACAGCAAGTATACCCATATCAATTGTAGAGATGAAACCCAAAACCGGTCGCTATCATCAATTGCGTCGTACCATGTCTTGGCTATACAAGACYCCCATTGTTGGCGATCCCATTTATGGAACGAATTTTGTCGAAAAAAACTTTTTACCACAGAATGCGCAACTGATTGAACAGAAACAAATGCGAGATTATAGTGCCAGCCTGATGTTATGCTCGAACGAAGTCGACGTTGCCCATCCATATTTCAACACCGCAGCTGGCCGAATCGAATGGGAAACGATGGATCGAACGAATAAGTTCAGGGAGACAAATAGCGGAAATAAAAAGACAAAGAAACCACCTACATCCTCATCGATGACGTCTTCATCACTGTACGAAGCTACGGACGGTGTTGTTCGGGTGGCTGCATCGACTGAGCTCCCGAAAAAGTTCACAAAGTTCATTAATATGATGGAGCGCAAGAAGAAACAGGCAGCTGCCAAGGGGAACGAGGAATAGATTGGAAATCCGAAGCTAGTGAACAAATAGTAGCAATTTTCAAAATAGATCGATTCCACTTTTTATGTATGCTTTTCTTCCTGATCTAGCTCTTCAAAGACACAAACGAAAATCCACCATCGTCGTAGCTTCGATGTTGAATTTCTAATTCTGAAAGACGTATACACCGATCTGTGTTTGCCACTTTAGGAATCAGCACACCCAATGGTTATAAAACTAAAATAATCCTTTTGCATGTCTTCACGAACATCGTTGCTTGAAAAATAACCTTTTTTCTCTATGGTGTGCACTTTTAGTCAAGAAAATATTTGATGAATGTTTTCCAAGTTATTGTTTGAGACATCCATAAGAAGAAAGAAGGCACCCATATAGGACCCCAGTAGTGGTAGCATTTGTCGTGGTTTGCAGTGCTTGCAATGGCATTTTTTTTAATTTTTCTTTTTCTTGGATCGTTTTTTCTTCGGAGAKGTTTCTTTGGGTGACAACGACGATGATTTCTTTTCAACCTTGTTTGCAAGGTTTTTGCTGCATTTCGTGTTATTTCCCTCATTGCCAATTTTCTTGCTGGTATCCTTGATGTCAGCTGCAGTTGGAGTCGCCGTCTTCTCTTCCTCATCGTTGTCATCGCCCTTGTCCTTCTCGTTGTCGTCTTTGCTGTCAGCGTCGTCGGCCTTTGTAGATTCATCTGACTTTCTGTCAGCGTCAGCATTTTCCTCCTTGTCATTTTTGATTTGTTCGCCGTCGGCCTCACTCAGTTCATCTGCCTTTTCTCCATTCTCGTTGGTGGCCGGCTCTTTTTCTTCCGTCGATGATAAATCTGCTATTTTTGTTTCAGGCATTGAGGATGGCCAAAACCACGATCCCGACAAGAAGTTGCTCACTGCTGCTAAAAATCCACTTGATGGTTTCTCGGTTTTGGTAGCCGATCCATCGTTCAGCTTTCTTCTCTTCTTCGATGGCGCGGCTGCCATCGGTGACGAATCCTCGGATGTCCCTGCATCTTCAGCGTTTTCCTCGGGCCTAGGTCGTGCAATCTTTTCCCTTTCGGCGTTTGTTACAATTTCGATAGATGACATATCAAAATGGGTTGTATTTCAAAGTAATTCTGTATTCGGGTATATGTGTCTGATGATATTGTGGAGCGGCGATTACAAGTGTAGTCTTGTTAGATAAACTGTGCTTTTGAGTTAGGGCGCCAGGAAAAAGGCAATCGCCAAGTACTCGTATGTGTGAACAGAGATTCACTAAATGTAACGGATAAGGAAAAGAATGGGCATACTGGGAAGAATAATGACCGCGAACGAAAAAGCACATCAGCCACTCACCTTTCCGAGGTGTCAACCTACGTACTGCACCGTACCGTATTACGTACTCTAGTATCGCGATGACATCATCGGCCGGAGAGGCGCGGCCAAAAAAGTAGTCTGACGTGCGACGTACGTACGGTAAATATTGGATATTTTCTACAGTACTATTTTGGAATGTACCAGTTCGTACTGGCTTAAATTTCAATTATTTCGATATGCCGTTACGCTCTCCTGTTTTCGAGATTTGAGATCAAGAAGTGATCAAACATCTCGACATGGATTTTACAAGTCTATCAACAGAGAAATGAATTACAACCCCGAGGCTCGAATATTCGAGTGTGTCCCTCCAAAATAATTTTAGACTTTCGACTTCGAAAGTTTTTTGGACTGAAGCCATAATCTACAGGTCTTGGGGGAGAACATTAAAGAATAATGCCGGCCGCACTTAATTACCGTCGAGTGGCATGGATATTTGGGATCGTGATTGCCCTTCTCAAAGTGATCGATGATGCAAATGCTGTATCTCCATTGCCACGAGGTGAAAAAAAATCGATATTAGTTGTCGGTAGTGCTAATGCCGACACGTTCTTGCCCTTAGCTCGGCTACCCACTGAAGGCGAAAACCTGACCCTTCTTCCGGGAAGGATCCCAACCGTGGATGTCCCTGGCGGAAAAGGATGCACGCAGGCGGTTGCGGCGGCAAAACTCTTGCGATCCTCTCCGACGTCCTCTTCCATCTCGAAATGCTTCTTTATTGGCCAGATGGGTCTCGATTCCGCCGGGAATATGCTGAGGTCGGCGCTGGAGGAGCAAGGCGTCGATTGTTCACATTGTGGCTATCACTCAGATCTTCCCAGTGGACGGGGCTACGTCTTTTTACAAGCCAATACGGGATCGGTCTCGGCTATTGTAAGCGGGGGATCCAATGCCCTTGGATGGGACGATTGGGAACGTGCATGGAAGAAACGACAAGAACGACAGAGCGATGGGAGGCCTATCAAACGGACCGAACTGGAGGAGAAACTGGGAACAATCCTAGAAGAGGAAGGTGTTCGGTGCGTTCTATTGCAGCGTGAGGTACCAGAATTTGTCAATTTGTTGGTTGCCTCCTGTGTCAATGATTACAACAAAAAGATAGAGGATGACCAATCCGGTAGCAAAAAAGTTGTGGTCTTTCAAGATGCTGGTGGAGAAGACCGCCCTATCTCGGGTCAAATGCTCAAGCTTTGTGATTTCATTGTGCCAAATGAAAGCGAGGCGAAACGATTGATCGAATCGTCTCCACCGATTGGGAAAAGTGCCGAAGAGGATGCAATGTACTACGCTAATGAACTGCAAAAAATGGGTTCGAAAAACGTCTTGGTGACAATGGGTTCGTCTGGCTCCCTACTGGCAAAGCAAACCGACGATGTCGAGGAAGAATCTGGTGACGCCTTTGGCAGCAACACAGTATTCTCACCGGCCATTCCTTGCCTGGAGGGAAGGGTTGTAGACGAAACCGGGGCCGGAGATTGTTTCCGGGCGGCATTCGCCGTAGCGCATGCTATAGAAGGTTGCGATCATACTACGGCCTTGAGGTTTGCAAATGCTGCTGGTTCTTGTTCGGTGCAAGTCCAGGGCGCGGTCCCATCAGCACCCTACCGGAAAGACATCGAAAAACGAATCAACTCAGAAACAGGTGTGAGAAGCGAAGACGKCGGCATCTCTCCATCTTTGGCATCGTCGGGTGCTTTGAGAGGAGGAGACAAAAAGGGATTTGACGTTTCTTTGGAACGAGCCAAGACGACGCATCCCCAAGCCTTTATGGTGCAGAAAAATGCCAGCAACGGTAGCATCGATGACCAAGATGGGTTCCTTGTCAGAGGTGGTGACAGTGAAGAAAGTTACAGCAGTGATGCCTTTCCTTTTTTGATCGGTTCTCGGTTGAACAGTATGAAGGATCGACCGGAGCTATGGCAAGGCAAACCATTGGAAACGCCCCGGGATTACGTAAAACGCCAAGGCACGATTAATGGACTGACGTGCGTCGATTTCAACTATCCGCAGCACTTTGGCCCTTCTGCTTGGTCTTCATTCGATGAAGTAAAGCAAAGCCTGAAAGACGAAGGCTTGGTGGCGGGTGCCGTTTGCTTGCGATATCCTTCGAAATTCGCCCGGGGAGCCATGAACCATCCAGATCTTGCTATGAGAAAGGAGGCTCTGGAGTTGACCAAAGAGGCTGCAGAAGTGGCCACGGCTCTCGGGTGTGACGAGGTCGTGATTTGGAGTGCATTCGATGGCTATGATTATCCATTCCAGGTAGCTTACGATGAAAAATGGGATCAATTGGTGGTTGCCTTTCAAGAATTGTGTGATTCCTTTCCCAACATCAAGTTTTCTCTGGAATACAAACCTACCGATGAAAACACGAGGTTTTTCACCGTGCCGACAACCGGCGCAGCCTTGCTACTGGTGGAAGAAATCGATCGTCCCAACATGGGTTTGACGCTAGATGTCGGTCACATGCTAATGGCCGGCGAGAATCCAGGCCAGTCTATTGCCATGGTTGGACGAAAGGGAAAACTTTTTGGAATCCAACTAAACGACGGCTTTACCCGACTTGCGGCCGAGGATGGCCTCATGTTTGGAAGCGTTCATCCCTCTGTGGCACTCGAAATTATGTACCAGCTCTACAAAACGAATTTCCGGGGGCATTTCTACTTCGATACCTTCCCCCAACGGACCGATCCAGTCAGGGAAGCCGAGTACAACATTCGGCGGGTGAAGCGATTTTGGCAGGCGGCTTCCGAAGGCATCGACGAATCGCTCCTCCGAAAAATCAACGACGAGCACGATGCTGTCGGAGCTCTGGAACTTGTCGATGCCTCGTTGTGGGATGATCGTAGCTCGTAGGACAACATCCTCAACCGTTTCTTCTATTTTATACAGTAGCTGTCTAATTTGCGCATCGTGCGACGATGGTCGACTTTCGTCCCAGGTTCAGTTCTCTATTCAATTTAATAGTTGCTTCGTCTACGGAACAGCAGGTTTTCCTGATATACCTTGTCATTGATGTCATYAGCCAACTCCTTCCCACTTTGATATTTTTTCTCAACAATTTTATGAGGACCCTGCCATCCGCCATGTTTGACAAGCTCGTACCCTGAAGTGAAGATAATATCCATCATTTTCACGACGTCTGCCTTGGTCTGATCCACGACTTCCATCTCGTATGTTTCGATGATTCCCGATCGCAGCAATTCTTTTGCACCCTCCAGCACATCTAGCTCAAAACTCTCGACGTCGAGTTTAAAAAACCCAATAGATGGCTTCGACTGAAACCAGCCGCGACTCCTGGCAAAGTCGTCCAGGGTGACGACATCAAACTTTCCCACTATTTTTTCCGGGGGTACTTTCCTCCTGAGTTCTTTTAACCTTTTGATATTGTTGATGCCTTCAAATTTCCTATTGAACGAGTAGGTTCCTGGATTTGAGATTGAAGTTTTGAAAAAATCCAGTGTGGCGTTTTTTTTTCCGACGCCCTTCGGAATCAAATTGAATGCGATATTATTGTGATCATAATCAGTCCATCCATTCAAAACCATAGATTCACAAGTTCGAACGTTATTGGCAGGATTTGGTTCGAATATGAATACCTCGGAAGCACCATGGGCAGCCGCCAGGAGGGAAAACCACCCGACGTTACCCCCAACATCCAGAAATATAGATTTCTGGTTTTTGCTGCTCGTTTCGTCAAAAACCTCCATTATGCGTTTTGATAGTTCTATTTCATAGTACCTCGACTTTTCAAAACTAGACGATCGTATCGTATCCAGCTCGGGATTGTGGGTGGACCAATAGAACGGATTTGGAGTTTTGGTTCGTGTCACGTACGATTTCTCCCAACCCGGCTCGGTTTCCATTTGTTCCACTTTTCCGGCGCGGTAGTCTTGGAGAAATGTTTTGCAATCCAATGCATCGGGATCCGCATTCTTCGTCTTCGAATTCGAAAGCTCTCGGGGTACATCGATGTACCCAAACTCCACAAATTGCGGTTGATTCATTACGTTGACTATCGTGAAGACGATGGAAGTGACCATGCACGTCACCCCAAGCTTGGGCTTTGCCATTGATATCCCTGCCATTGATTTTCTGTAATCAATACAAGAATAATGTGTTTCCCAGACCGGTTAAGTAGATTATTTTTGATCGAAAGGCAAGCGGGCGACGACAACCCGTAATCACACGGATTGAGTTGGTTTGACTTCGGTACCCTGAAGATATTACAGTATAATTTTTTAATTTTGATCTGGTGCATTTTACATTTCGAAAATGTGGATTTGGGTTAAGTGTTTGGAAATGATGCGCGAAAATCACTTAAGCCAATTGCCTCAAGGTCATTATCATTGATTATCATTATTAGGTCAGCAAAGGAACATTCGAGAATTTTTTGTTATCATTATTTATTGCTTTGACGTTCTAACATRCGAAGTATCAAAATTCACAATAGTAGATTGAAAGCTACGATACTGCATGAAATTAGTACTGTATTTGCATACAGTACGATACTTTTTTCTGATAATAAAATTATCAATTATTCTACGAGTTACGTAAGTAGGTACCGTACAAACTTCGACTTACTGTATTCAATCTAACAAAAAAGGGAAAGAACAGTTTGGGTCGAATTTGGATTTGGGGGTTGCAGTGAATTGTGTATCTCAGTTGTGACCCATGCGTGAGAGGAAAAAGACGGCAAAAGATGTTTTCTCGAATACAATTCGTATTTGTACGTTGAACCGACGGAATGATGAGCCTTGAAAACTAGTAAACCGTACGGTACGGTTCATTGGCCAAAAAACCCGCACCGCATCGAACARGACACTAACACTATCCGGCACATCGCGAACAGGACCGAGTCGCTTCGTTCCGCGTCTCACCAACCCCAGAACAAAGCTCGAACGGCAACCCGTTCTCGTCACCACTGCAACGAACCGTCAAAGCAAAGCATTGGAATTGAATACCAACCATGATCAAGCAGCGAAACTTGGTCCTGGTGGTCCTCGGACTGTTCATAGTCACCGTGGTGGCCGTGAATTTATTCTATCTGCCGTCCATCGGAATCAGCGGTCTGGAATTTGCTCCGTTGACGAACTACGCTGCTGCACTGGAAGMATTTGCCAAACCAACAACTGACATCTCCTCCGACAACCTGTACCTCGGACAAGAAAGSRGGGGGGAGGAAGCCGAATCGCTGCCGCTGTCGTCGCCCCTTTCGACCGACCAGGCGGAGGCGGATTCGTCCGCTTCCGCGAAAGCGGACGTTCAACGGGAAGAGACCGCTCCGGCCGGTGGGGCACCCGGCGAAAGGATCGCCGGCCTCAACTGCGATCGGTTCGGGGGTCCCCCGGAAGAAACCGCGGCCGAAATGGTGTACTGGCGGGACATCCCCAGCGATGCGCACTTTACGAGCCCCTACGCTAGCTACGGAGACGATCCGAAGTACCTCACCTTCGAACCCGACGAGGGCGGCTTCAACAACATTCGAATGTCCATGGAAACGGCCACGGCAATGGCGCATGCCATGGGAAGGATTCTGGTCCTTCCACCGGAGCAAGAGATCTACCTCCTCGGAAACGACRAGAAGAAGCACAACAATCGCTTCACCTTCAAGAAGTTCTTCCCGTTCGATGCCATTTCCGTKGAACACAAGGCCGTAGAAGTTATATCGATGGAAGAATTCATGGAGCGAGAAGTCTCGACGGGAAGATTGAAGGACGAAAACGGAAACGCTGTCTTCCCCCCCCGCAACCAGACATCGTTCGAAGGCCATATCAGACGAGGCCAGGAAATGTGGCACTGGCTCCGATCGGTTACCGTTTCTTCGACGTGCGATTTCAGCCAGGGTCCCTACGTCTTTCCGAAGCAACCGGGGCCAGAAGGAGTGAAGGAGATGCAAGATTTGTTCAACAGCATGGACATGAACATCCAGAACCACAAGCTCTGGAAGAAATACGTCGGTAACCCGACCCCGGTGGATGCTCCGGCCAAAGAACGGTTGAGTGAAATGCTCTCCTTTCGATCCAAAGTATGCCTGTACGACGATCATATGCAGAAGGCAAAGGTGATGCATTTCATGGGCGACAACGCCTCGGGCGCCCGCTTGCTGGTTCACTTTTACGCCTTTATGTTCTTCGAGGACTGGAAACAGGACCTCTGGACCAAGCGGTACGTCCGGGACCACCTGCGGTACATCGATGAGATCCAGTGCGCGGCCGCCAGGATCGTCGCCGCCGTTCGGGAAAGGGCGATCGCGAACGGAAACCCGGACGGCGAGTACGATTCGATGCACATCCGGCGGGGGGACTTTCAGTACAAGCAAACCCGCATAGATGCGAAGAGGATCTACAAAAACATCAAGCACCTCTTCCCGGCGAACGCGACCGTCTTTGTTGCCACCGACGAGCGCGACAAGAGCTTTTTCGAACCCCTGCGGAAGCACTACAACGTCTTGTTCTTTGACGACTTTGCCCACCTGGTGGYGGACGTGAACAAGAACTACTACGGCATGCTGGACCAAAGGATTGCCTCGAGGGGGAGGACCTTTGCCGGGGCSTATTACTCCACCTTCACGGGCTACATCAACCGCATGCGCGGGTACCACTCGCAAAAGAACAAGCTGGAGGGCTACGAGGAGGGACGGCTCAACAGCTTCTTTTACGTTCCGAAAGACCTGCAGGATGAAATTAGCGTCTACAGCTCGCTCAAGGGACCGCTGTGGGGCAGGGAGTTCCCGGTGTCGTGGAGGGACATCGACCACGACCTCAGCCCCTCGCAGCTACTGGCGTAGGCGGAAACTGGGGAACGAAGGAATCCCGGTGGCGCTCAGGGGTAGCGACGGGGTTTGGTTTGGTTTGGCTTGGCTTGGTTTGGCTTCTATTTTGTTTGGTTTCGTCTCTCGCTCCGACCCCGGAAGCAAGCACCCACCAACCGGAACGTCGCTCGCGGTTTTGCGTTGTTTTGCGCCAACGGGGCTTCCAAGGCTTCCCGGGTGGTTTGTCCCGTGGTAGAACCCGAACGACGCGTTTGTCTGTCCATCCAGAGCACAGTGAAACTTTGCAATACCACAGTTGCGAACGAAACCGTGGCTGCTTTTGCMAAAAAAAGGGAGCGCTGCGGGACTAGGTCACTAGCTAGACTGGTCCACGAGCAGCTACTAGCTCATAACGCACTCTTTATTGTAAACCATGTATTATATTATCGTACGCTAGGGAGCCCATCGTCACTTCACAGGCACTGCCATAGTATGGACCAAAGAAGATTCGAAAAACACATTTATTCTCTCTAAAACAACAACAMAACCATTGAAGGCCTTCTCTCCGTATCATTCGTCGATGACGCTCGATTTGGATCAAAGGATTTCTTCGCAGCCAAGGGTTTCTTTCCTMGATGCCCTTAGAACGCAACGTTTTGTTTCATCTTGTGTTCGCCGCCGGCACGGAACGCCGTCACGGGAGGACGAATTGTGACCCAGACGAGAGATTGTGACCGAGATCGGACTTTCGAAGCCTTGCTTTCGATTTCCCCTGTTTGTACGATGCGACCTAATWGTACCAAAAACGGATTTCGAGAACGCCGCATGCTGTTTGCGAAACGCCTTGGTCGAGGATTCGGATTGCTCCAGACGCAGAAAAAACGTCTAGAAATAATACAAAAATATTCCTACTAGTACATGTAGATGGAATTAAACGCGAAAATAGATCACGTCGACACGGAGAGCCAGAGATATCTTTTGTCTCGTTCTCGGTAGCTGTCCTCGGAGAAGGCTGTGACGACAGAAGAAAAAAGAAAAGCATTGCCGGGACGCAGCAATGAATTTTTTGATCCCTCGGAAAATCTCACGGCACCATGCTTGGCGTGGGTTTCGGTTCGTCTTTGGTGCGAGTCGAGTCGAATCGAATTAAATCGCCCGAGATGGGTTTCTCTTTCTTCCTGTGTCCGAGGATCCACCGGTCCCCGGGCGATTCGTTCGGCGGACCCGCCCACGAACCTGCTTTGGCCGGGCGACGCTCAATCGATATTGTGGTCGTCCAGCTTGGCGCCGGACCTCGTGATGATATCTCTGTATCGGCAGCTGCCCGGCTGGCACCGCTCCAGGTCCATCCCGAAGCAGTTGAAGTTTTGTAGGCTCCCGGCACCGTTCGCGCACGAATTCCCAACGACGGTCTTTTCCTCGGACGACGAGGACACCAGGATGTCGATGTCCCCGCCGCCGTGTAATTTGATATCGAAGTCWTGGTTCTSGCACGACAGAATCCCCTCCCCCGGTGTGAAGATGAGCTCACTGGTTTTTCCGTTACTGTTGTTGTCAATGATGAAAAAKGTGATTCCGTGCTTGCCGTTGTTGCAGGCGTGAACGTCTTTTATCTCGACATAGGATGGCTCGTAGACGCCGTTTGCTGYATCGTCGTCATCCTTCGGCCGATCKGTCATGGAGCGGAGAATATCGAGGTACTTTTCTCCGTATCCCACGTATTCGAGACCATGCGTCAGAGACATGGGTTCCGAGGCAACGTTGTCCATACCGACCGGAGCGTCTTCGTCGAAGTTGACACCCCTTGCTGGCTCGATCTGTGTGTCCTCGTGCCATTCGTTGAAGGAATTGACCAAGATCATGTTGTCGATCGCGGGGTCCACCAGGGGCAACGCCTTTTGCAACTGGTACATGAAGAGGCTCCCCTCTTCCGATGCCTCGTTCAGCCGCCGCGACAGCGGCGGRTTGTCCTTTTCGAACCGAACGGCTCKATCGTTGTAGCCGGGGGAGACCGGTGGAATGTAGCGGCAGTTCTGTTCGAGGGCCAGCTTCCGCCATTTCTCCTGCTCCGCGTAGTACGCGTCGACGGCTTCCTTGCCGGCATATGGATTTTCCCGCTTCGAGGCACCGCTCGACCCATAGACGTCGTAGTTGGTGACGGCGTCAAAGTAGAGAAATGATACAAATGGCTCGTCTGCGTCGGGGGCCTTGGCAAAGACGGCGTCGCCGATGAGGTAGAGATTGTGTCCGYACTTGCTCGCTGCGCTCTTCATGGTCAACAGGGCCTTTTCCAGAGTGCCGAGCTGTTCGAGTTTTCTCGAGATGTAGATGACCAGCACCGGACGTCCGTCAATCTTGTAGTAGTTGGGGTGGTCGAAGTAGTTGTCGCACATGTATTGGATATCGCTCTGGGGAACGGACATGCTTTCGTCTCCCTCCTTGATTCGTCCAGTGGTCTCATAGTGCAGGGCGATCTTGAGATTACCAATGCTGCTGTGTTCCATGAGCACATCCCGGGTGTTGGTATCCTCGATGCGGTCGGGACCCCACCAGGAGGTGACAAGGAGGCCGATGTTGGACTTGCGAAACCATTCCATGTGCTGTTTGATCACTTCCGGATCGGAATCGTTGTATTCCCCAAGCGACGGCTGCTGGGGCGGCTTGAGTTCCTTTCGGAGGTAGCCTCCACCGTTGTGAAAGTCGTCTCCGTGCCACGGGTAATAATAGGCACCGACCAAGTAATCGGTGTTGGCGGTGTAATCGTAGCCGTACGACGCGTCGGCTTCCCGTATYTGGATTCCATCGTCTCCGTTCCTGCTGGCGTCGACCCCGGATAGAAACACACTTTCGACGTCATAGAGAATAATCCCGTCCATGCTGTTGCCGATAGAGGCGCTATTTGAAATCGTGGCTGACTTGGATAGCCACATGTACACGCCTGCTTTTTTCCACTTGGGACTGGGGCCATGAATGTTTGTGATGTCGTACCCGTTCGTCAAGAAGACGCAGTTGGCAACTACAACGTCGGAGCCTTCGGCTTCCACCGACAGACCGTTCAGGATATTGAACTTGGAAACAACCCCCTGTAGGTTTATCACGCTGACTTCTCTGATGCTTATGCCACTCTGTGCGTTCTTCTCGATCATGGCACCATCGATGGTGAGCTCGCCGATGCTGTACACAAGAATACCGTCCTTGCTGTTGTTCCTCACGAGAACGTCCGAAAGCAGCATTTTTGTCTTCGACGGGGAGGAGACACCGATATCAACCTGAATCACATCGATGCCATTCTTTTCGTTGTCCTCAAGGGCGCCACCAAGAACCGCAAACATTTCGAGACCATCGCCTCCGGTGACCTCGATTCCGTCGCCCCCGTTCTTGGACAGCACCGAATTTGTGACGCGGACCGTGTTCACTCCCCCAATGATCTTGATTCCATCATAGACCTGGTACTCGATGCGGACGTTGTCCACGAGCAAGCGTGCCTTGGTGAGGTCCTCGTAGTCGGCCGGGGTGTAGAACTTGAACCCGCTGCCCTCTGCTGCCTCTTTTTCGGGATTGGGACCGGCGTCCACTACGATTCCATAGGCGCTCACTGCCCGTTGGTCCACGCTGGTCACGAGTGACTTCCCGGTGCTCGGGTCGTCGCTGTTCCCCCCCTTGATCGACACGGTGGCCGCACCCGGTCGGACCAGGACGCATTCCCGCATGAGAAGCAAGTGGACGTCATCCCCTGCGGGGTAGGCACCACAAGAAACGTTCTCCAGCAGGCAATCTCCCTTGTCGCAGAGAAAGCCAGCGGTGCTGGTGTTTTCGAAAATCTTCCGTTGTTCGTAATAAATCCCATATGCCGAGGACAAGCTAGTGGCATAGAAGCTTCCCCAGATTGTCGGTGGGGTGGTAGCCTCCTCGCCAGCGTCCTTGTTCGCAACAACATCAACATCGACGTTGATGCTGTTGACCTGCGCACTGTTGTCGGTCACGATCCCCTCGATGGCATCGATCTCCTGGAGGTCCCCCACCATGTCTTTCAGCTTGATTATGGCCACCTCGCAGTTCCTGACGTGCCCGCCGTTGCGCACCGCTACGATGGGTCCGTCCTTTACGGTGCTCTGGAGCATCTTTTTGCCGCAGTCCAGCAAGCACCCGTCCACCAGCAGGGTCTCTGTCAGGAGAATGATCTGCTTTTCTTCCACGACAATCATGCTTCCTCCGAACATACACTTTTTAAGTTCTGTCCCAGGCGACAACCCAGGCGATCCAGCAAATCCGGGCGGTGGAAAAGAGGTGGTGGAGGATCCATCGAAACTTTCTCCGGTAGAAGTATACCATCCAGAATAGTCTCCTTCGACAGCGTCGGCAGCGGAAGCTACCTCGAGGCCACAGAACAAATGCGCTAGCACCGAAAGCACGAGCAATGTACGAGACAAGGGAGCCTTCGCATTCATTGTCGTCGCCATCGCCATCTTTGCCGTCGCCGTTATGGACATTTTTATCATCAACAGCTGTTCTGTGCCACCGTCGGTACTCTTCGCAACCGATCGCTCGCTTCTTGATTTGTTTGGTTGCCTCAAACTAAACTGTAGAGCAGACCCGGTCGGTCTTTCAGGTTTTGTTGGATCCTGTGTTMACTTGGTTGGACCGTTGTGGGGCGTTATAGTCTTGGTGATGTTCTCCGAAGAAACGACCCTCGGATGCCGCAACGCGGGTTTTTTGTTGCAGTTCATTCGGTAAGCGTCGGGAAGTTGCGCGTTAAAAACACCGAAAACTCTGGAGTAACCGTTGTGGACTTCGCGGGAGTTTCCCCCCATCAAAAGGTACGAGTTTCGTACTCCTACTACTAGTACGAGTAAAAAAGTTCCTACGAGTACTAGCTAGTACGAAGTACTACAGGTACTAGCTAATGTAGAGCACATACGACTCCTTTTCTCGTCCCAAACGGAGTTGGTACGTACTAACCGCACAGCAGTATTATTCTCTGTAAGTACAATTCAGTACGAGTACTACGACTCGTARCTGTGCAGTACTCGTACATGTACGACCTGGATGAGTCGTGAGTCAMCAAAGAGGGCATAATAAAAGACACAAGATGATTCTCAACGCTTGTGATTCAAAGCGTAGAGCAAATTCTAATCCAACATTTTCTCTCTAGGACCCTAAATGTCTCTGCCCCCCAAAGTTATGGTGCAAATTAGGATGCGAAGGACAAAAATCTTAAATCTGCTCTGGTCTACGAATTCTACTACGTACGTACGTGTCATACTTYACTACATATGATCGTTTTGCTTGTACCAGTACGTCGTAACGCTATTTACGTACAGGTTGCGAAATGCTGATAGGTTCTTTAGTGTACGATAATACGGTACGTACGTGGTTTACAATAAAGAGTGAGTTTATTCACTAGCTTCTCGTGATTTAGCCTCACACAGGTACATTCGCACAGTACAAAGTACGAGTGCGGTGAGATTCCGAGAACAAAGGAAAAACTCGTCACGATTTCACGATTTTGCTCTGCTCAACATGATTGTTGAACAGAGCCCACCTTCCGAACTTCGTTGGGGATCCCACAGAAAAGTGATCCAATTCAACACCAACGCCGAGAGCATAGCAGATCACAAAACACTACAAGACTGGCGACTCTAGCAACGATGACTGAAACAAACGCAAACAACGCAACCAATGCAGTCCAAGAATCCCAGATCCGGAAGATGACTCGCCTGGCCATCGAATACGGTGCGGTGAACCTCTCCCAGGGTATGTGGCGTGCTGTCTGACGTGATGCGATGTGATGCGATGCGATGACGACTTGGAATGCGGTGGGATGGGACGAGGGTTGGGAACAAAAACTTGTTTGGTTGCGATCCGTAGATCGACAATTGGATTGCTGCCGCAGGCTATGATCTTTCCTGTCTTTATTGACTCATTGCTGTTCCTCGTCTGGTTCCGCTCTCTCATTCAGGGTTTCCGAACGAGTCTCCGCCGTGGTGTGTAAAACTAGCGCTTGCGCACGGGGTGCTTTCGGGACGACCCCTCGAGGAACGGAGCGACGAAGGATCCAGCGACCACGAGGAGCGACTGGCAACATCCCTGTCGGAGCTCCTGGTTCGGTCGGGGGAAACATCGTCGCCGGGGCCCGGCGACCAGCTCAACCAGTATTCTCCCCCCTGTGGGAGGGGCGATCTCCGGGTTTCGATCGCGAAGTACTACGAGCGGTTTTACGGCTACGACGGGGTCGGGCCGGAAGACGTGACCGTGACGCTCGGGGCCACCGAGGCACTCGCATCGGCGCTGCGGACCCTGGGAAAACCGGGGGACAAGTGCGTCATCTTCGAACCCTTCCACGAGTTGTACCCGTCCCAGTGCAAGCTCTTTTACCTCGAGCCCGTCTACGTGACACTGCGGCCTTCCCCAGCGGCGGGCGGCGGCCCCGAACCGACCACCTGGACCTACGATCCAGGGGAGCTGGAGGACGCCGTGCGCGATGCCACGATCCTGGTGCTCAACACGCCGCACAACCCGACCGGAAAGGTCTTTTCGAGGGAGGAATTGGCGCACATCGTATCGCTCTGCCAGAAATACGACGTCTACCTGGTGACGGACGACATCTACGAGCACATGTGCTACGACCGCCACAGGCACATCGTGGTCCCCCACGAATTCCCCGAAATGGCCGACCGGACCCTCCTGTGCAATTCCCTGGGCAAGTCGGCCTCGGCCACCGGGTGGCGCCTCGGGTGGTGCGTCCACCCACCCCACCTCCGGAACACCTACCGCGGGATCCACGACCAGCTGGCCGTCATGAGCCCCCACCCGATGCAGTACGCGACCCTCTCCTACATGGGCCTGCCGGACCGGTACTTTGCCGATCTCTCCGCCAGGTACGGGCGGCGGGTCGCCAGGCTCGGCAGCGCCCTGGCCAGCCTGGGCTTTGGGGTCGTCCCCCCCCAGGGGGCCTATTACCTCTTCGTGGAATACACCACCGTGCCGGCGCTGAAGGGGATGGCCTCCGGGGACGCCGCGATGCACCTGCTGGAACACGTCGGCGTAGCGTGCGTTCCCGGGGACAACTTCTACGGGAAGAAAGGAGACGCGACCACGGAGAACAGGTATCTGAGGTTTGCGGCCTGCCGATCCGACGACGACCTGGACGAGGCCATCCGGTTGCTCGAGGGCAAGCTCGGGTAGGAATCGATCGCTATTGCTACTACTAGCTGCTGCTCGGCAGGGAAACGACTCRCAGGGCAGCGGTACAGAACGCACGCACCGTGCTTCTTGCTACACGCATTCGTTTTTCGGGTTCTACAGAGCATCGCACTCGCAAGCGGTKGTCGTTGTGAGGCCAAATCCCGAGTAGATAGTGAATAACCTCACTCCTCTACTGTAAACCACGTATTAACATGCAGTAGGGAGCCTATTAACATTCGCAACTTATGAGCAACAAAGGCACATACCTCAACTCATTAACCATCATCGGACCACTAGGATAGCACCTGCTGCCCATTCGCAGTCGTGTGCAGTGCAGAGAACCATCGGTTTGAAAATAATTCACAATTTTAGTAAAAAATGAGTCGTACTACGTACTAGTACATTAGTTTGCTACCGTACGAACACTATCAATCATACCTATTTTGTCGGATCTTGTCGGTTCGGCCCGATGCAAGACGCTCTGTTTTCTCACTTACTCCKGATTGCTCGTCTCCACAGCTAGGAAGGACTTCACCTTAAACGATGATGTAGTACGTACCATGCCGTACGGCATCGTACGGTGAATACATACAGAGCTTCACGGACAGATTGTTTCATCGCTGCAAGCTCTCATCAAAAAATCATCACACCGATGTAACAAAAAATCTCGATCGACAAACAGCAGTCGCAATCACTTCTGAAAAAAGACACTATCTCCACAGTGCCGGAGCTATCATCTCTTGAGGAAAGAATCCGACAAATCTATTGCAGGGTGCAAAGATGAAACTGGATTTCGACAAGGACGGTGACAAGAACAAATACAACAACAGCGGCGAAACGAAAACGAAACCCGGTGATCCAGAGGAATTCGACGTTCTGTTTCCCTACGACAGAATTTATCCGGAGCAACAGCAATACATAGAATGTGCCAAGCGCGCGTTGCACGAAAAGGGTCATGGCCTGATAGAGGTACCGCCGGGGACGAACCAGTCCTTGTGTTTGCTGTCCTTGTTGACATCGTACCAGCAACAAAATTCAGCAAAACCTCCCAGCGATACCCATAGAAATGGCAACAATTCCCTCCCACCACCGCGGAGACGGATCGTGTACGCCACGAACAGTGCACCGGAAACCCGGAGAGTGATCGGGGAAGTTGCCATCGTAATGAATCACCGGCAGCAACAGCAGCAGCAACAATCGTCGACAACATCCACATCGCACAAGAACAAGAAGAGGAAGCAGCAAAGTCACTTGTTGTTCGACAACGTCGAAGGCGGGTTTTGGAAATCAACCACGACTACGGACGATCCAAACATTCGCAACATCGATCACTACAACGATAGCCATGCCGGAAATTCGTCGTCGTTTCCATTTTTAGCGTTGTGTCTTACCGGTTTCGAGAGGGACGCGATCGACGACGCCTGTCGAAGAGCGAATGCCGGAGACGACGAAGTCCACCGCAATGATCCGCTACGATTTCGATGTTCCATGACAGATTCCGAAAATCCACCTCCGAACGGAATATTCTACAGCTTGAAGCAACTACACGACTGGGCTTTTCCCGAGAGGCCAAACGGTCAAAAATCCGGAATCGGTAACAATCATGGCAACAACGATGTTGATAGTATGGATATCGATTCTCCTTTTACGACGAAAGTCAGTACTGGCCGCTGGTGTTGCTTCCAGCATTTGATAAAGTATGCTATTCACCACGCGAATGTGTTGGTTGTCACGTATCCGTATTTACTCGATCCGATGACGGCCATGATGATCGGTAATGCTATATATGATGTGCCACAACTAAAGAACAACAAAGACGGCGACAACAAAGAAAACGATAAGAGCAGCAACAATAACACAACGGCTATCAAAAGCGAGGAGCTAACGAACAAAACGAATGCGATTGTTGTATTCGATCACGCCCACAACATCGACGCGGCGTGCGTCGACGCACTCAGCGCAACCGTCAACCTACAGGATCTAGAGCAGGCCACGCGATCCCTCGACAAATTGTCGGCCGAGATATCGCGTTTGTCCCAGCATCGGAAACAACAGCAACAGCAACGCCTCAACTCGTCCTCTGAAACCCCAGACATAAAAACCGAGGACAACAACAGCAACAACAAGTGCGACGACATCCCTCGTCCGCTGAAAGACGAATACGACGATCTAGTTGGAAAACCCATCGATCACGGGATGTATCGGCCGATTCTATTCCCTTCGGAGGACGTTGTCAACGAACCCGTTCCGGGGAACATCCGTCGCATGAAGCACTTCATTGGGTGCATGAAAAAAATCGTGGAGCACTTCAAGGTTCGGTTGCGCTGGGCTACGGAAACCAAGCGGCAGCCGACGACGGACAACAAATCCAAGAAGAAGAAAATGGGAACCGGGACGGTCTCCCCCCTGGCCTTCTTGCACCAAATGATGAACGCCACCGCACTGGATTCGAAAACGCTGCGGTTCGTCTATTCGAGAGTCGTGTCCATGCTGCGGACTCTGAACGTGTCACGAGAAACCTTTACTGAGCTCATCAACGTTGCATATGTAACGTCCTTGCTCGGATTCACCAATACGCTGGAAAGCTCGAAATTCGCCATTGTTTTGGAGCAAACGAGTGTGGTGATCGGACACCACGCAAAATACCAACCCCAGAACCACCATAACAGTGGTGGCGGCAACGGCGTCTATGGCAGCAACACAGGGAGCCACGACGAGGGACGAAGATCCGAATGTTTAATGATGCTCCAGGTGGCGTGTTTGGACCCATCCCTGGCCATCAAACCGATATTTGATCGCTTCGAAACGGTGCTTCTGACAAGCTCGACGTTGTCGCCGATTCATTTCTATGTGAGTTGAGTTTTTATTGTCACTAGATGGCGCAACCTAATGGATTGTAGTGCTTGGGTCGGAGTCCGATTTTCTTGCGAACTCACTCTTTGTTTTCGATTGTTTTGCAGCCCAAAATACTTCAGTTCGAGCCGGTTGTTGTGGAGTCTATACCGATGTCAACCATTCGACCTTCGGTCAACCCCATCATGATTTCTCGTGGTTCCGATCAATTGATCATGTCGACGGGGTACAAGGAGCGATTCACGATGGGGTGCATACGAAACTACGGCAAAATGCTTGTGGATCTCGTGAGCACCATTCCCGATGGCGTCGTCGTCTATTTTCCCTCCTACAGCTATATGGAAGCCTTGATATGCGAATGGGACGCCATCGGAATAATGAGAGAGATGACGGAATGGAAGCTTGTCTTTGTGGAAACAAAAGATAACCTCGAGCTGAACACCATCGCCCTGGACAATTACAGAGCGTCGTGCGACATCGGCCGCGGCGGAGTGTTTTTCTCGGTGGCCCGGGGCAATATTTCGGAGGCGATTCCCTTCGACCTGCACTACGGCCGGGCTGTGGTAATGATCGGCATTCCCTACGAGTACACGCTGTCCAAGGTCGTCCGGGCCCGATTGGAGTACATCCAGACGCACTTTGACATTCGCGAGCAGGACTATCTGACCTTTGACGCCTTGCGGCAGGTCGCAAAGTGTTTCGGACGGGTGATTCGCTCGAAGATCGACTACGGTGTGTTCGTGTTTGCCGACAGCCGGTTCCACCGAAATGACAAGAAGACGAAGTTGCCGGGCTGGATCTCTCAGTTCCTGGCCGAGGGCCAGCAGGACCTCACCACGGATATGGCCGTGGCTCAAATAAAATCGTTTTTGAGGCAAACGGGCCAGCCGGTCGATCAAAAACTACTCCAGAACCTTTTAGCCCACGGCTAAAAAAGAAAATTGTCGATGGGCACAGCATGCTAGTTTCCTCGGCCTCTCGTTTTGAAAACGAAGATCCTTGAGTGGAAAATGAACTGGTGCTTGTATATTCCGGTGCACAACATAGATACGTTCAATATTCCATGTAGCACTTAGAATATTTCAATTGGATCAGCTTCGTCGATCGAGTCCAATGCCACGATGGTATTCACACAATAGGCATATAAGCTAGTAATAATAGTGGACAGCTTTGTTTTTCCAATCAACCAAGACGTCGTTTTGGTACCGAGAAATATTGTTTGAAAGTGTACCGTCGTTACACTATATCTAGCACCTGTAACTTCTCTGTGTATAGCTATGTGATGGTAAAATGCAAGCTCATCATGGTTTGGATGAATATTGTCAATGGCTGATTCAATGAAACTGAATYGAATCATGATCATTTGTGGTGTTCTATTATAAAGGGCCACGAAGCGAGCGTCACAGATTCAATGAATTCAATGAAATGGAATCGAAACGAATCGAGTCGAATCAAATCAATTGCAATCATTCATKGTTTTCTGTAGCATGGGTTGCACAATGATGAGCCCAACGCCGTAGCTTTTGGATTCCTTTTTTAGTCATCCAGGCATATGGAATACCGGGACCAGCACCACTACGACCACCAGAATCGCAGGGGTAGCCATACCAGTTATGAAACGACGTCGATTACTACTATCGTTGCGTTTGGACCAATAGTTTGCGCATTGTTGATGTAGTGAATACAGCCAATTAATATATCTTCAGCTGCATTGTTTGGAAATTGTTTATTTTCGTTCGCCTCCTTTTGATGATAGCGACGGGAGACGCTATCGACGAACGTTTCACCAAAATCTGAAAAAAGACACAAGGGTCGATTGTTTGCACACAAGGTCCTCAGTGTAGCAGGACTCATCAATTCAGTCACTAGGGACAGATCTGTCCTACCATAGTGTCAAACAATTTCCGTTGGGAGAAGATCCCTTCCCGTGCAGTTCAGGGAAATTGAAGTTCTTTCTTTCTTCAGTCCTTAGCGATAAGGGACTCGATAATGAAAAAAATAACGAATTATTGTCGAATGAAATGTCCCTGATGTCTGTTTAGTCGTTGTGTCCGATTTGTCGATGTCATCGCCTCTTGTCCTGACCGGTACTTTACGATACGAGTTAACGGCTATGATACCAAAAACGCGCATGCGCAGGGCACTAGCACTCCGACTTGTCATATGACGTCGTGCCGTTTCGTTGAGAATTGAGGGTGCCTCCACTGTTCACCACCACAAAAAATGTTGGCCTGGAAGTACGATGTCGTTTTGACCCGTACAACAACGAGCATGTACGGTACAAACCTGGCATGCCCCCCATCCTTCAACTTCGCTCGGTGACTCGCTACTAGTAACGTACGGTAGGATTCATACGGTATTTACGTTCCTGGAACTTCGAGCATTTTTCTTCCTCTTCACGCACATCCCGGTGCTAGAAATTGGACCGCATCAACATAAAAAGATCCAGAAGTGAAAGAAAAGCAGTTAATCGTTTGTCTGCTCTTGTTCTCTTTGATCGTTCAAAAGAGAAAAGCATAGCAGAACTGCATTGCCGCATTCGATTCGTGTCGAGTTGCGATTTACACTGGTAGGTTCTCATTCGTGGAGAATCGCATCTTTGACGCTCAGTCATTTCATTTTGTGTTCGCTCGTTCCTTTGAATCTTGGATTGGATTGGATTGAATTGAATTGAATTGGATTGGATTGATATTAATTTCATTTCATTGTTGCCTCCGAACAGTCTTTTATTTTTCATATCACTAGGTTTATTTGATTCGTTCGCCATGGACCGCCGTCGCAGTTCCGGGAGAGACCGAGGCAGGGATCGCAGTGCCAACTTTACACGTGCCCGCGATCGATTCGAGCGCAAGCGCAAGACCAATTCCTATGAATACAACGGCAACAACAACTACACCCTGACGGGAGGTGCCAGTGGAGGAAGGGGCTACGACGTGTCGGGCGGAAACAGGAGCGACAGCCGGATGGACTACGACGACGACGACATGCGTGGGGGAGGGCGGCAGCGCCGCTCGCGATCCCCGGTGCGATGGGAACGAGGCAAGAAACAGCAGAAGAAGACCCAGACGGACGTTCCCCCGGATCGGGAATTGTTTGTGGGAAACATTCCATCGGACATTGACGACAAGTTCTTGCTCAATTTTCTCAACGGCGCCATGCGACAGGCCAAGCTCTGTGCCCGCCACGAAACCCCCTGTCTGAGCGCACAGATCAACTCTGGCAGTTTTGCGTTTGTGGAAATGGTCAATGCGGAATACGCCAACAAGTGCCTCAACATCAACGGCGTTTTGTTTCTCAACGCACGCATCAAGGTCGGCCGGCCCAAAAAGTACACCGGACCCTTCATGGTCCAGAGCAGCTGGCAGGAACTTACGGGCAGCGAGCTCACCATCGACGCCGTACTGGACGGTGAGTCGGAAAAGGTCAACCGCGAATTGTTTATTGGAAACACCACGCCTGAAATGACCGACAAGATGCTCAAGGACTTTTTGGGAACCGTCATGGGACAGGTCGGTCTCAGCATCATGGATGGCAACCCTATTACTCTGTGCGAAATGTTTGGCAAGTACGCTTTTATTGAACTGCGCACGCCGAGGGAGACGACCAATGCCCTAAACCTCAACAATATCGAGTTCATGAATTCAAAGCTGCAGATCACACGCCCCGCGAAATACCAGGGAGACTTTGAGGACCACTTGAACTGGGAGCAGGTTTTGGCCCGTTACGGAGTCAAACCAGAGGAATTCAAGCTCGGCGAAGTTTTGAACCCTACGGCCCTGTTGACCAGCGCTGCCGCATCCGCCGAACCGATCGATGGAGAGGACATCAAGGTCGTCAAGGCCGAGCTGGCGCAGGTCAAGCAGGCACTGGAGATCACACGCCACCAATTGGACGAATGCAACAAGAAATCGGAGGCCCGAAAGGAGCAGCTCATCAGTCTAAACAAAAAGTGGTCCGAGGGCAAATCGGAACTGACGGACCACAAAAACGAACTCGACCAGGTCCGCGACCAGCTCAGGAACAACTCTCAGAGCGTCACTCGTATCACGGTCGACATGGACTCGCGCATGGAAGCCGAAGTCCTCAAGAAAAAACACGAGGAAACCCAGGGCATGCTGCGCGGCGTGACGGAATCGCTGCTGAAGGCCACGGAGAAACTGCAGAACGAGCGAAAGGCGCGAAAATCACTGGAACAAAAGTTTGTCGACGCGAACTTCAGCCTAAACCTGAGCGSCGACGGAAATGCTCCAGCGGCCTCTGYCGCGGCACCCTCCGGCGGCGGCATTGACTTTGCCGGCCTCCGCTCGGAAGTGAGCACGGACGCCGCCATCAAGACTGAAAATGCCGATGCCGCGGCCAGTGGAATGGAAATCGACACYGCCATGGAAGACGACGAACCCAAGATGGAATCCCTCAAGGAATTCTTGGCGAAAACACCAAAGACCAACATCGATTGGGGAGCCAATGCCCTCRTCACACCCGGTGCCACCACCACTCCGGGTGGTGTCTCTTCTGCCCCACGAAGCCGTGATCGTGCGGGAGTTCGACTCTGCCGTCTGCTGATCCGAACCAACAGCCTCAACGACGACAATGCCAAGGAAGTYCAGGGCATGGCCGGCAAGTACAATCTCGGTGGATTCATCAAAACCGGCAAGCCGGGCGTCATTGTCGTGGAAGGTCTGGAATTCAACTGCGACATCTTTATGGACAACCTGGAACGGCAAAAGCAAACCTAYGTCAACGTCGGAAAGGTCTCGGAGCGATCTGGGCGTTCGTTCCCCATGCAACTGACCCTTCTGAGCGGCGACAGTGCGGCCTCGGACTTTGCCAAGGCCTGCGAAACGGTGGGCTTGAAGGAGAAACTCGATGAGGCCCTGAGCAATTAGACGGTGCAATCAATAAGTATCGTTATTGATGTTATTATTGCTTGTAAGTAACATAGCAGTTTCACTCTACCAAATCCGCCGACACTTGCAAGCAAACAAAAGATGTTTTCGGAAATGATCAATGGATCATCGAAGCAATGACTTCCTACATTATATCGAAACAAAAGAAACTGGGTTTATTTGAATAGATCATTATGACGCTCCATTATGGTCTTGAAAAGAAAACCAGGAGCCAAAAAAACATGACTCGAATTTTTTTATTAGAATGCTTCGATTGGCTTGGAGCCAATAAAACTCAAGGAGTAGACAAAAAAAAAACACACACACAAAAAAAGTATAAAAATTAAATCCGTTGAAACGACATAATAATGACTGCAGTTGTTCTCTTAGGGTAGTGACTAAAGTAGAATTTGATGCAGCTAATGGCGAAAGGGTGACTTCCGAGTTGATCTTGCAACTTCCATTTCGTGAAGAAGCACGGCATTTACAGCATCATGTGGTCCCGGCAAGCAATAGTGAAGACAATCGCCCTTGCCAATGTGAAGATCCGGACGCAAAATGGCCATTTCGTAAAAATCGAGGAACGACACCCGAAGTCCCTGCCGTATTCGGGATTGAAACAGATCTTCCACTATGGCATTTTGACCAGCGAAATCCCACCAATGGAATTTGTGACCATTTAGCCGTGTCTGATACCACGGATGAGAGGGATCCGAGACCGTATCTTTGGCCATGGCCTGGCGGTCGATCCCAATGGGACCAGGTGTATTCTCGCAATCRGGAAAGCCGGGAGCCGTGGTTCTCCAGACCAGTAGACAATCCCTTTCGCCGCCGCGTTTGTCGCAGTCCCGCTGCCATTCCAACGCCCTGCCAAKCGTCAAATTCAATTCCATGCGCAAAACAGAGCTTTCCACGTAATGGGCTCCTCGATTGAGGACAATGACATCGGGATCATACAGCCCTATGATGTGGTGTAGCCTTGAGACTTTGGCACGGTTGTCTCGCAACCAGAGCAGCTTCGTGTTCCCGCTGCAGGCGTTGTTATTTATAGATCCCGTCATTACCCCGTTGATCTTTATAGTTGCCGTGGTTCGGTATTCATCGGTGGCTCCTAAGAGATAATTGAGAGAATTGAATTGCTGCCACGATATAGAATCCCCAAGGAACGCAATGGTGCGGTTGCTGTTCAGTTGACAGAACCGATGGACCTCAAAAGGAGCGAAGGAACAATCAGCTTTGTCGTCTCCGCCGTTTTCGTTTGCGATCCACTCCCAGCTATCGATGATCGCAGGCTTCTCGGTTTGTTTCTTTTGATAGCATTTATTTTCCCATGCGTCTTCATCTAGTGCGTAAAGAGGTTTTTCCCTACGCACTGCTTTCCATTCTCCTTTTCGAATCCGTTCACGGCTGCAAAATTTTGGCTTAATGGCAATGGAATGTTTCGCAGACCCATCAGTCGGGTCAAGTTCAATAGACTCGTCTTCATACCCTGGTTCCTTGCCTGTAGTGGTTGTTGGAATCTTGTTGGTTGCGTTCAATCTCTCAGACACCTGATCACCGGAAAGAATGGAGGAATTGACTCTGTGCTCAACAAAAAGAAAAATTGCTCCATATATTGCCAGTACCAGTATTGGTTTCAGATATTTCCTCTTGGTTGACTCTTCAAAGTTAGAAGCCTCGAGCATTGGTGTAGATAGATATGATCGTCTCGCAATCATGCTACTATTGCTAAAATAATGATGGTCAAACTGAATTGCTTTTGCAAATCTTGTTAAGAAGTGAGTTAGCGAATAGCAATTCTATTGCAGAACATGATGTTAATGTCGCATGATGCATTGCATAACCTGCGAAATCTACKTATGCTCCTTAGTGTCGTATAACTAATATTATTTTTTTAGAATCGTCGTAACACTAAGTAATCTAACTAGTACTTGGTCCTGGTCCTACACCGATATAATAACTACGTGTTTACAACAAAGAGTGAGTGGAGTGGAGTGATTTGCTGTTCACTCACTATCGACCCGTGATTGCTTATGATTTACTACGTAGTGTGTTTTAGGCCTCACAATTGCGGTGAGCTGTGTGAGCGGACTATCATATTCCTTTATCCATACTGGAGCCGTAGGAAATAGAGCAACTAATGCGCGCATGCGCGCACTGAGAATATATAGAATCTGGTAGAGTGTAATGAACCAATAGCCCTACTTAATGCTGTTTAAAATTAGTGACGTCGGTCTTCATTCTTTTGCGCTAATTAACAATTCAATTCTCTTTTTTTTATTCTCTACTTATTCCCGATTTATTCTCGATCTATTATATTTTCCTTGTGTTGGCCGAGAATAAAAAGTGAATAAATTGCTGAGTAAATCGAGAAGAAGTTACGTAGAATATTGTTGTGGTTCCGGTCTTGAAGGCATAATACATGCAGCAGCAGCAAGAGYAGCAAAGACCCTTGCACTGAATTGCAAAGCTCCCCAAGATCATTACAGTGTTAGCATGATAGTACTACTAAGAACAAAATTAGCACACAAGCAAAGGCAACAAGAAAGCAAACACCGAGCKAACTAATCGACTCGTCATAATGTTGAAACCATGCCAAGAACCTCCGGTGCACTCAMTAGAAATGCAAAGAAGCCTCCAGAAGTCAACTACAAACAGCAAGAGCTTGCAAACAAGCTCATTTGCTATAACTTTTATTTTCACTTGCAAACTCAAGGATCCATTGGTTGGAACAGTGATCCATCAAAGAAACCAGTTCCTGCATCAGTAGAGCACTATCTAAGCTCACAATTTATTCTTGAATCTCTATCAGAGAACCAGCAGTTCAAGCATCGAGCGAAGGTACATTCTTCCCCTTGTTGGTTCTTCCTCTCTGGAGGCTCCTGCTGCTTGTTGTTGTCGTCTGCACCTCTACTGCTACTAAGAACACTCACTGGGTGGTGCTTGTCCTCATTACCAGTCTATGTCGACACTTGCGAAGAAACTTGCAGCAAAAGGAATCACTCTAGAAGCCCCCTAAATCCCCATCCAAAGAACAAAACAAGAAGCAATGCCGACTGCAAAACCGATCCTCAAAACACCACCAGCAGTAGCAAAGAAGAAGGCTACTACTGTAAGAGTTCAATCCTCAGGGGGCGCCTCATCAGTAGCATCCTCACTGGGAGTGGATAATCTGTTTGCAAATCTTTCCCTTGATGATGCTTGCACCTTTCAAACTGCAAAAGGCTTTCTTGCGTACTCTCATATCTCTGGATGGATTTCGATTTCAACACCGAGGACAAGGAAGGGTTTGTCCTCCTCAGGCTTCTTCTCCATAATGGCATCCAGGAGCAAGACTTTGAGTTTGAATGGATGGACAACCACACCTTCATGGTCAAGCTCAAGTGGCCAACCTTCATGAAGAAGGTGGTGTTGACGATGACAAGCTTGGACATGATTCAAGTTGGGATCGATGCTGAACGGAATCCTATTGTTACAGAACGCTTCCCCAAAACTCATTAAGTCACTGGTAGCATGGGYGAGAACGCGGCTGGACTCAAGGATGAGAATGGAGATATCTGGAATGTTGGAAAGTTCTCTTTTAAGAAGCCCATGRTGACTGGTGATGATGACTATGAGGTCAAAGTCTTCAACAATATCACGTGTGACAAGTATGGGAATAAGGTGACTATCCTCCAAGTTATCTTGAAAGAAGAACCGGAGCTAAAGCAAAAGGTCGTGAAGACGCCTTCAAAGGTGAATATTGTCAATGCTTCCTCCCTTCAATTCAGTAAGTCACCACCGATTGCAAAGAAGTCTGCTGCTGCTGCTGCTGGTTCTCGACACAGCTGTCCCTTGGCAGCACCAGGAGGAGATGAAGACGAGGATCATGGGCCTTCCACAAATAAGAAAATGAAAACAACACCACTCACCACTGCTGATTCATCCTCATCTTCCTCTCCTTGTCCCATCATGCCCCAGGCTGAGGCCCTTCCACCTTCTCCTTCTTGACTAGGATATGACAAGAGCAGCAGCAGTTTGTCTGCTGGTGCCTCATCAAACTCTGGCAGTATCTCATCGATAGATTCTAGTAGTACTACTAGTATTGATCCAATTAAGACACTGATGGAAGCCAAGAAGGAATATCTAGATGATCTTGAGGAGTATTTACATAATATGAACAACAACGACAACGATAATTAGTAGTACCAAGAATTATGAAGCAAGAAGTACTAGTAGTAGTGTAGCGTTGGCGCCGTCTGATAGTTGTTACTAGGACCTTGGAAGAGTGCGAGGAGTGCAAAGCACCTGAGGCAGATGAGGAGGGTGTGATAGCATACTACTTTGAGGTAAGAATGTTATGTTTGTTTTTCTTCTGACATTTAGTTTATTTTTCTTTCATAAGGCAAAAAGCTCATGCACTATTGTACTACAACTAGTAGTAGCGGGGGCGCCATCCAATAGTTACTAGATGCGTGTTGCACATTATATTATTAAAGACTTTGACCTCATAGTTATCATCACCAGTCATCATGGGCTTCTTAAAAGAGAAGTTTCCAACATTCCAGATATCTCCATTCTCATCCTWGAGTCCAGCCGCGTTCTCACCCATACTACTACTACCAGTGCTGGTGCCGCCGGTGATCTCCTCYGCATCCTCCTAGTCTAGAAATAGCTTGCATTGTAGTCAACGTCATAAATTGACTCACCGACAAGGAATTTCAGCTATGTAATTACGGCAACAGTGTTGAAACACTTGCCATGCTTTGCCATCATCTCATTCCTTGGACTGGTATGTCTGAAATGAGTTTTCAGCACATTAAATTGCTTCAGTCTACCATTTACATTCTCATKTCTTCCCCTGATGACACTCTTTTCTTTCCGGATCTCCTGAGTCATTCCCATCCGAGGCKTCTTCATCTTTGAATCTCCTTGTTTGTATCCCCCATCCACTTCAACTCCTTYATCTGTGCAAAGCAAATGAGTCAATTTTTCCCTGAACATGGCTCCATCATTAGTGCTTGCAACATACGGACCATTGACCCAAACAATATGCCCAGTTGCAATACAAACACCAACCTCATATGTCAAGCCCGCCGGTCCGTTCATTTTCTTCGAGTAGTACTACTTCTTATCAAATGGCCAAGGTTCGAATATTGGGCACCAATGTGTCCCATCTACTGAGATGAGAYAAGTTGCACTTGTTTTCTTTGGAAGTCCATTGAATCGGTTTTCTAAATCAATAATGTCATCCTTTAAGCAATTTATTTTTGTTATAAAGAACCAGGTCCATTTCCAGAATGTCATCTTTGAAGGCCATCCGACAAGGGAGGTGAGAACCTCTTCTGAGGAGTATACCTTGAGAAAACCAGGTGCATACAGCAAGTGCTTACAATCAACTTCAGTCTTTTCCTTCTCAGTAAGTCCTTGCTCCCAGATGCGGTTCCAAATGTCTACAATCACCTCACTCGGAGCTCCAAAAAATGCTCTTATTCGCTTGTCTTTGTCGTTTGAGTTCCACTTCCTTTCTTGTGGCCATTGAATTGTATCCCTGATCACTTCTTCAATCGATTTCAATGATAGTCTCATTGTTGTTGTTGTGTAGTATTAACAATGAGCTGATGTTGCTTGTTTTGGTGCAAGCTCTTGCTGTTTGCTGTTTGCTGCTGCTGCTAAGACGCCTTGTTCGACGCTTCATTTAAAGAAAACTAAAAAAAAACAGGAATTGATGAAGAATTGATCGAGAATAAATCGTGAAATCTATTTCTGAAGTATTCTACGTCTATTCCTGATTTATTCTCGATCTATTCTTGGCCGATATTTTTTAATCATCTGATTTTTAGATGTCATCATGACATCTCTTAAATATAATCAGTGCGTCAGTTATTCTTGATGCGCGCATGCGCGCAATAGTTGCTCTATTTCCTACGGCCCCTGGTTTCGAAGTTTTTGAAAAGAATTTCGAATCAAGAGTTATATGCCTCAGTCACATTTTGCGCGCAAGTTGGCCACCATGGCGAAAACTTTGAAGTACAGTAGTACAAAACACTCTGCACTAGTATTCCTAATAACTACGATCAGCACTAGTAAGCTACTTTCACCACATCCTACTACAAACGAGAATGTTACTATATGTCTCGTAGAAAATGACACTCGAACGCAAAGTGTTAACAATATTTCTCACCTAGTACCATATCTGATGCGATGTATCTCATGCAAAGGATAGCTAATTTCCAGTTGGTTCAATGGGGTTCTCTCTATCTAATAGATACATTAAAACAAACCAATTGCATTGCATTGTATCGAAGCTATCATTGCAATTATAAGTAATGGATAATTTTGTGCGCGGTAGAAGAATCAAGAGCGGTGATGCGATAATATGCTACTTCTCACCTAGGCTGAAGCCTTGGAAGATTTGCTCATCGTGGCCTTGTCGGAGGTGTCGCCTTTTGGATCCTTCCATATTTCGGGGAACAGTTCGTCGGGCAGGCGCATGTCGTGCCGAAAGGACCAAAACTGGTGGTGGTCCCTGTGATAGACCATGTCCCGGAAATACATGGCGTCTCGCGGAACGTCAAATAGAATGTATGCGGGCGTATCCTTATGTTGCTCATACCTGTCGAACTTGTCCAACCATCGCTCTCGCTCAAAGACCTCCACCGTGTACCGGTTGTCGTCGTGCCGCAAAAGGACTTTGCAGGTGTAATGATAATCAGCCCAGTCTTCCGTGTCCTCATCCGTATTGAATTTGTAGGCCTCAAAATCGTGATCCGGAGGGAAGTAATAATCACGACAAAAGGTAATGACCCCCTCGAATTGTTCCTCCATGGGTTCGTAGGCCGTTGGGATCCTCAAATCAACCCTCTCGTTCAATTCAAAGGCCGGAATATAGCGCCGACGGGGTCGATCCCAGTTTTTCACATGTTCCTCCCAGGCTATCTCCCAATCGATTCCATAATCAATAGTGATCTCTTCTCCCTTTTCTATGTCCCTTATCGCGACGTAATCAATGGCCAGACCCGTATGAAACTCGGACCCCCAGTCTTTAACCGGCATGTCGAACCATTCAGGGTGCCGCAGCCGCTTCTTATCGGTCCAAACCACTTTGGTGTTGGGATTTTTGTGGTTGTGATTGATGAGAAAGTTGAGGTATCCGTAGGGGCATAACAACAACAATGTATCCTCGTGTCCAAAACAGTAATTCAACAGCAACTGGTGGTGAATGGGCTTTTCGACTCTGCGCTGCCATGTTCCCTTCTCCGTGATCATGTGGTCATAAATGATGAGGGACGATCGATTCGGAATGTGAACAAGGGGTGCGGGAGCTACGAGGCTGCCCTTCGCAATGAATCGGCTGGCAAACGCTCCACGACCGGCATGGGGAATTTTGCTGACACCTTCTCGGATATTGTCCATGCACTGCCCGTGTTCGTTCATCCATTCGAGGTCCTTAACGGTGTCGTTGTAATTCTGTAGCGCACTACCTCCAAAGTCCATTAGATTTTTCAAATCGTCAATAGTTGTCGCATTGTCCCCCGGTAACGCAAACAGCGTCTTGGCTTTGTCCCAAATGTCTCTCAGTTCCACGATAAAACCCCACAATTCTTGTTCGAAATTTGTACTGTTGACAATTTGATCTTTCGTTTTGTCTTCATTCTGCCACGATGTGACGTTGCCAATAAACGATTGGATGAGTGTGTCGGCCTCTTCGTAATGTCGGTCGAAGGGGACAAAGTCGTAGACTGGCCGTCCATCGAAGTATCCCTCTCCATAGCTAGCGTACAGTTCGCTGAAGGGTTCGATGGTTTCCATCGCTTCGAATCTCCTTCCCGTCATTGGCGTAAAGGCCCCGGCCCCCGGTGAATCCGATGGGACGCCCGATGTGGTGAGCTTATAAGCAGCGAATTCGTCCCAGCCCTCGTCCTGTACGTTGACCAGAGGCATCATGCAATTGATTGCGGCACCAAATCCACTACTTATTGTCGAAGCAGAGTACACATTTTCGACGTCGTCGTACATGTCCGGAAACATGCCTTACGTGTTGTTTCGCAGTCCATTCAAACCGAGCGAAGAAACGAGTGACAAATCGATGGATCAATGTGAGGCGGTGGCTCCGTTCGTCCACACGAACCGTTTGGTTTGGTTGCTCCGACGAAACAATACTTCTAAAATGCGGTGCAAGCATGGTGCATATGTGCTCTGTGTCTCTGACTTACTTGTACTCCACGTGTATTCGTCCCATAAATGATAATAGACATCGTCTCCGTTGTGGTAATCCAAATCCCAGGTTGGGATCATCAGATCTGAATCGCTGACCAGATCATATTGCTCGTATTTCTTGCTTCCCGAATACATGCCCAGCCCTGCTCCCGGAATCGAACTGGGAGCAAGATAGAGGCCGCACTCGTCGTGCGGTACGTATTCCCGAGTTTTTGTTCCGATGTTGTCGCTAGCGATGGTCGACTGAGAACACAAAAGCACGACAAAGACCACCGAGGAATAGATCCCCGGCCATTTCGGGGCAGCCACTCGTCCCGCGTCCGGGATCGAAACCATCCTGAAATCCAAAAACCAAGTTCAAGTATGAGTCGTTGGATGCAAATCAAAGTCTAAAACGATGGGAATGTCATGTGTATCTCTCGGACTGCAACAAAAGTAAGAAGGCTTCTCAATCTCGACAAAAACACTTCTTTCGACAGCACCTTTTTCTCTTTCATTAAAGTTTCAAATCGATTTGATGCATGCCATGTGGTCCGTTCGATACGATATCGTACAGTACTTGGGGTATGTAGTACTTGTACGGTAGGGTACGTMCAAAAAAGGAATAATCGTTGACGATTGACGAATTGCATTCTTGTTTGGATTTTGTTGCACGTGTGCGCAATACCAGGTTCTTGCTCCGCACATCGACAGTTTTTATCATTTCAAATTAAAACAGCACGTGCATGCGCGTTCTCTCCGTTGTTTTTCAATCCCTCTTCTCATTCTTATTGTGCCAATCGTGTCTCCAGTCGATTTCAAGTAGAATCTGAATTCCCAGGACCCCCTTCGAACCACGAACCGAAGGACTGAAATCATGAGAATCAGAATTGCGCGATGATCGCTTTTTGTCATTTGATGCTGCACGTACCGGTACGTATTGTAAGTTAGATTACTTAGTGTTACGACGATTCTAAAAAAATAATGAATCCGAAGAAAAGCAGACGAGATGCCAACTCCGGAGTACAAGTACCGGTACCTCGTACGATACTCGTACTCGTGCTCGTACTCCTGCACAGCGTTATTAAAATTATTTGAGCACAATCAAGAAGGTACGGTAGAAGACAATGGTGCCCACCAACACTAGCATGCGGTTTCTGGCATTCTCTGCTCTGCTCGTTGCCGCCGATAATGCGAAGCTGACCGCTTTCGCGTCGTCCGTCGAACCGGCAACCGGTGGGTCTCCACCGGAGCCGGGATCGATGATCGACTTCGAGGCCTGGGAARCGCTGCACCGCGGCATCGGCAGCGACCGCGGGTACGGCTCCGAATCCGAGCGATCGCTCCGCAAGAACATTTTCCAGGAAAACATAGCTGTGGTGCAAAGGCACAACGATGCCTTCGATGCGGGCCACACGTCCTGGAAAATGACCATGAACTCGCCCTTTGCGGATCTCACCGCGGACGAGTTCTCCTCGCTGTACCTGATGGACGCCCAGGAGTGCTCGGCAACGACTCCACCCGCGACCAAGGCCAAGCTTGTCGCCGATACCCTGAGGTCCGACGACAAAGCCCTCCGCGTCGACTGGAGGACCCAGGGAATCATGACGCCCGTCAAGGACCAGGGCCAGTGTGGAAGCTGCTGGACCTTTTCGACGTCGGGGTGCCTGGAGGCCCACACGTGCCTCGCGTGGGGAAAGGACTGCACCCAGTGGGATGGATTTGCCGAACAACAGCTCATCGATTGCGCCGGTGACTTTAACAACTTTGGATGCAACGGAGGCCTCCCCAGCCAAGCCTACGAGTACCTCAAATACAACGGTGGGATGGACTACGAGGAGACATATCCGTACAAAGCCAAGGACGGCGCCGAGTGCCTGGCCAAGGACGGAAAGGCCGGGGGATTCGTGTCGGAGGTCTACAACATCACCAGCGGCGACGAGGACGACCTGGTCACGGCGATTGCGCAGGTCGGTCCGGTGTCGATCGCCTACCAGGTGTCCCCGGACTTTCGGTTCTACCAGCACGGCGTGTACGATAGCTACAACGCCACGACCCAATCGACCATGTGCAACAACACGAACATGGACGTCAACCATGCCGTGGTGGCGGTGGGCCTCGGAACCACGGCCGACGGCAGGCACAACCACAACGACGACGGCGGCACTCCCTACTACATCGTGAGAAACAGCTGGGGTACCTCCTGGGGCATGGAGGGTCACTTTTGGATGAAGCGCGGCGAGAATCTCTGCGGGGTGAGCGACTGTGCTTCCTTCCCGATTGTTCCCAGCAAGGAGGAGATGACACAGATCTGGAAGGAGCAGAAGAAGCAATACTTCAAGGACAAATTGGCAAAGGAGGAATCAAAAGAAGAAGACAGCTTGCGATACTTGCGAAAAAACTAGGGTGATTCGCACACACCTGCCTTTCGAATCGGTTGTCATGGAAGTGCGAGACTCCATGAAGAGATTCGTCGACTTGAGCTTTGTCTAAGAACAATAGGTTGCAGCTTCCACGTGATTTCCGACAATCCATGGACTATAATTCCCTAGAAAGCAGGCTTCCAGGAGCAGAACAAATGCATCTTAGTGCGGGTCTGTTTTGAAATGTTGATAGCTAGCATGATAAAGTCTAAATAATGTTGTATTGTTGTACTTCGTAGTTATTGGTTTGAACAATCTGCAGAGAAAGGTTCCATGGATTGCTCCGAGTGCAGTTCACGTGCAGTGCAATGCAATCCATTGGTTCCTGCGATTGCTCTACGGCGACGCAGAAAGTTCTCGTCGCTGATCTCTGTCGTCCTTGGCATCGCTCCCACCCTCTGCTTGCTGCGAGGAACCCCCGGGCGGGGGTGGGGATTGCGGTTGTTCTTTTGGTGGCTTCTCGCCCTTGGACGACTGGTGCTTGTCCTGCGGGTCCTTCTCGCGGTGCTCGCCACGGGACGACGAAGAGTGCTTCCGCGACGAGGATTTGTGGTGTCGAGAAGAGGACAAGCGATCGCTTCGGCTGCTGCGCTTCCTCTTCTTGGAGGAAAACGACGAGCCGCGTTTCTTCTTTTCCGAGCTGCTGGGGTTCTTGTCCCGGCTGTCCTCGCGATCGTATCGATCGTAGTCGCTGCTGCTTCGCCTGGACGACCGGTGGCCACCGCTGCTGCTTCCGTGCCGGCTGCTCTTGCTCCGCCGCGACGATCGGCTCGACCTCGGGGGCGGGGACGATGCGTCTCCGTCCTGGCTGCTGTCCTCGTCGCTGCTGGMATCCCTCTTTCGGTCGGCTCCCCGCTTGCGCTTGCTGCTGCTCCGGTGCTCGGGACTCCTGCTCTCGGATCGATCGTGGTGGTGCCTCCTGCGGCTCGACCTGCGGGTGGACGTGGATCGYGTCGTGGGGGGAGAGGGACTGTTCCTCGAGGACTCCTGCTTGCTGTCCCTGTCCGGTGGCAGGCTTTCGGAGGAGTCTGCCGTTTTTTCGTCCCGGTCGCGGTCGCGCCGGGTGCTGCCGTGGTGGTGCGACGAGGACCGGCGGCTGCTGCTCCTTCGGCTGCCGCCGTCCCTCTGCCTCAGCGAAGACGATTCCCTGGAACAGGAACGAGACCTAGACCTCGACCGAGACACCGATCCGGAGGTCCGCCGGCTGTTGCTGGTGCGGCGAGAGCTCCGGGTCCGGTTGCTGCTGCGCCGGCTGCTGCTCCCCCGCCCGCCGCTGCGGGAAGACCGGTTGCTGGTTTCGTACGAGGGCGACCGCCGGCTGCTGCTCCGCCTGCCACTGCTCCGGCGCGAAGACCGCCRGCGACCGTTGCCGACGCTGCTGTCGGAGCTCGAGGAGGAGGAGGAAGACGACGAAGAGGAGGAGGAGGAGCTGGACGACGACGAATAGGACCAGGACCGCCTCCTCCGGCTGCTTTGGTGGTACCCACTGCCCCGGCTTCTTTCACCGCTCCGGCGGTGGTAGCCATCGTAGTCGTCGTCCATCGRTTGGCTCCGACGCGACGTGGGGGAGGGCGACCGGCTGGACCGCCGCCTGCTGCTGTTGTAGTACGGGTCGTCCGCCTGGACGCTCCTCCGGTACTCCCGGTCCCGCTCGTAGTCGTCMACCGCCTGGGTTCTTCCGCGACTGCTGCGGCTCCGGCCCACCCGGTCGCGGTACCTTCCCATGCCTCCATCCCCGAACGAGTGTGGCTGCGAATCGTGGTATCGATCGCTGTACCGGTGGTCGCCAAAGCCCCCACCGCCCTGGGGAGGAGGCTGGTGGGGGTGCATGTGGGGCGGGGGCGGCCCGTAGCTGTCGTAGGGAGAGTAATTGCCGTGTCCCTTGGGCGGTGGCGGTCCACCCCCTCTCCGACCCTTGTAGTCGTCGTACGAACCACTGCCACCTCCTCCCCCGCTTCCGTAGTAGGAGTCACCGGAATCGTTGTTGCTGTTGTTGTTGTGTGGTTGTTGCTGCCACCTGCGGTTGTTGCCGTCGTTGCTCGATCTGCTGCTGGGATGCTGTTGCTGTAGCCTCTGGCTCTGGCGATTGTTGTTGCTGTTCGAGCTACTCTTGCCGTTTCGGTCTCTCGCACTGCTCGCTTCCTTTCGGTTGCCATTGCTGCCGATATTGCTAGAGTTAGAATTCGCAGTCTGGCCGGGAGCTCCCGATGAGGCGTTGCCGTTGGCATTTGTTGTGTTGTTTTTGTTCTTGGAAGAACCCGATCCACCGTTGTTCCCGCTGCTGCTGCTTCCACCGGCCGTCCTTCCTGCCTGGTGAACCATAGATTCGAGCTGCCTCTTGGCTGCATCCATGGCCCCCTTGTAGGTGATCGCCTGAATGCCCATGTTTAAGACATCGCGCTGGGATTTTGGCAATCCCGCAAACCATTTCAGGGCTTCCCGCGTGGACGAAGATCTGACTCCGCTTTCTCGTTCTTCTTTCACCTCTGACAGCGTCTTTTCGAAGTATACCGCGAAATCAAAGTCCGGATCGGGCCACTCGCCRCTCTTCGTCGCCGCTTTCCTCCTGGTGCTCATGCTCGTCTGGTGCCCGTCGTCGTTCGTTGGTGTTGTGGTTGTCGTTGTTGTTCCAGCGCTGTTGTTCGAAGCTTTTTTTCGTCCCCCATTTTTCTGCCCTACCATTTCCGTATTGGCGGCAACAGAGATCGGTCAATTCGTGCTCGGTTTGAACCGGTTCCTCTCTATAATTTGAACAGAAAGGACGGACCACACCCTCGCAACAAAAGTAATTCCACGTGTAAGGAAAAGACCATCGACGGGGAGCCAGGCTTGTTCAACTCTTCCTGTTGTCTCTTGCCTCGATAGTAGGTTGGTGTACGGGTATGTTTGCAATGGTGTGGGTTTGCTTTGTTCTTACTCGTACGAAACCGGTCGATCGACTCGGAGACGAACTACTACCGATAGTAATCTGAGGCAACAAAAAAGGCACCCGAAATACTGTTGGATTTCAACCAAACCGCTTTGTTCTCTTTCTAGTGTTGTGTGTGGAGGACAAGACAAATCGGGCGGGACCCGTCGCGAAAAAAAAAGTGCCAGGAACGTCTGTCTGTATGTGCTACTTATCTTTTCTTGGTACAATCAAAACAAGTACGGGTACTTGTACCACATAAAATATGAGTACGCACAGGTACGTACCGGTACTACATGAAAAGGCAGGAATTTCAATCACGAATGTTTTGAATGGTCGACGTAGGTTTGTTGGGGCAAAATGTCATAAGTGAAGTGATATTTTCGGTCATTCTTGAAGGCCACCCCGCTGAACAGCACATACGGTATGATCGATTACTGGTACCA